CAGGAGAACTGCACTGACTTTAGCATAGATTTTGCTTTTGAAGTTTGCATCATGTCTGCTAAATGATGTAAATGTAAAATGTAAATGTAAATGAAGTTTGTTACCCCAAAAAGTTTTAAAGGTTTGCTCATCTGATAAATCTGGAGTTCTTTGATGACCTGCTGACAGTTCTCCATAGCTTAATTATGTCTGGCGTAAGTATTTACACCAATACTAAGACTGTTAACTTTCATTTGTCATGAATTGTCTAAGTCTTTACCCCCTTTAATCCCAACGACCCGTGTGTTGTTTATTTTCTCACTCTTGTAACTCTGTGACTTACATATTACCTTACCAGATATATTTATAGTAAATTCAACAGATGCTGAAGAGTAAGCCTCAGGACTAATACTACATTATTAAACTTGAGTAAACTCGCGCTGCATATCATGCTTGTGCATGTGAGAGCGTTATGGGTTTGTCATTCTAACATTGAAATGTATTGATTGTTGGTGGAACTGTTTGTGTTTTGTGTAAAGGATCTGTCTCACAGAGAGAGTCTTCACTGCATTCTCACAGCCTTCCACATTCTCTCGGGTCAAGGTCAGTGCTGATATTTACATCCCCCTCTCTTTGCAGTTGTTCTGCCTTCTCTGACCAGTCCCTTTTCCAACAGGTGACGTCCTCAATATCGACCCCCTGAAATTCTACACTCACTTGTACAAAACTCTGCTTACACTGCATGCAGGTAAGTTCAGCTTTATATGCTATATGTACCCAAGTATCCAGACACCTGATTTCCAGCACTTTTTTTCTTTTTAACTAATGAATAGTGTTCATAGGGAGTTTGTTCCGCTGGGGTGTAATTTCATTTAGGTGTAAGAGCATTTTGTGCATTCTGCATCACAAATGGTCATTCAGACTCATCCCACATGTGGTCAGTGGAGCTTCATCACTCCCAGCTCATCCTAAAAGTGCTCAGTGGGGTTTCATGCCTCTAGAGAACACGTTTCCCCAGCTCCAGTGGTGAGGAGTTTTATGCCCCTTTAGCCAACACTTATTTTTATGCCCCTTTTTCGCTAACAGATATTACTCATGACAATCTCAGGGCTGTGTATGGCTGTTCCTGAGCCTTTCTATTGACAGAACACAGCTGTGTATATGCATTTTAACACCTTTCCTTCAAAAGTCCACGAATAAGAAGGTATGTCTGGACACTTTGGACAAAAAGGGTGTCTTCAGTGCCTCTGGGCTGACAGTAGGAATACACAGGTTGGTGTTTGTCTCTGACTGCAGGTGCATCAAATGAAGACACGGCCATTATGCTGCAGTGTCTGGACATAATGCTGACCAAGCGGCGGAAGCAGGTCACTCTACACAGGGCACTGGCCTTTGTCAAGAGACTGAGTACACTCGCGCTGCATGTGATGCCCGACTCCTGCATGGGCATCCTGGCAGCCATCAGGACGCTAGTACACGTGAGAGAACCTTATGGGTTTCAAACACACTTATTGAACACAATGTATAGTTCTGTCTCAGTTTGCTCACCTTGTGATCACGTTATGTAGTTATTCTGCAGTTTAATCTACAAGGTAATCTGATGGCCATCTGCCTCAGTTTAATCTTCTACATTACGTACCTAATGACCACCCCATTGAGGTCTGCCTCAGTTTATTGTAATACTGTTGTTAATATACTCTGCTGTTTTTTCTGTAATGAAACGAGGAGTCTTGTCGCTGGCAGGGACCTTTACTGGACTTCAAACTCATTAGCACTGATACTGAGATATGGTACCTGGATGCTGTATATTAATTCTTGTCATTTCTTTGTGTGTGTTGTATAGACTTTCCCTAAGTGTGACATCCTTTTGGATAACGACATGCAAGGGAGTGGTGTATATCTGCCTGAGCTGGACGAGCCAGAGTACTGCAATCCCCAGAACACCTGCCTGTGGGAGCTGCACACACTCAAGGTAGCAGGAGTACAATAAACACACTAGAGGGAAACAGGCCACATCTGCTGTTTGAATGATGGGAAGATTTCATAGCGACATTTAACAATGAGGAGTGAAAGAGCTTGTCTGACCTGCCAACACTTTACCCAATAAAACTTAGTATATACACTAAACACCCACTACATTAAGTACATCTGCCTACATATCTACACTCCGTGTCCATAGGTAGACTGTAGTCCATCCCTGCACGCTTTGATGTTCTTCAATGATCAGGACCCCTGAGCAGGTATTATTTGGGAGGTAGATCATTTTCAGCACTGTAGTGACACTAACGTAATAGTGGCATGTTAGTATTTAAATACTGTGTCCACCTATCGTGCTCTCTATTAGACACTTACCTCGTTGGTCCACCCTGCTTGTGTACAGTTAGAGACTACCTCATCTGTTGCTGCACTGTTTGTTAGTCACCCTCTAGTGCTTCATCAGCTGTCATATGATGCTGACCTCAGGATGCTGTTAGCTAGGATTTTTGGTTGGTGAACCATTCTCAGTCCAGCAGGGACACCGAGGTGTTTAACAACTCCAGCATCACTGCTTTGTTTGACCCACACTTACTAGCGCAACACATACTAACATGCTGTTACCACATCAGTGTCACTGCAGAGCTGAAAATGATCCACCACCAGACTATTTCCTGCTCAGTGGTTGTGCTGTGGGGGGTCTTGACCATTGGAAGAACAGGGTAAAAGGAAACAATGTATGCAGAGAAACAGAACTACAAAGTGCATCTGTATTGTAAGTGGAACTGATACAATGGACAAGAGTGTAGCTACAAGCAGATGTACTTAATGAAGTGGCTAGTTGCTGTTTATACTGTGTGTGTCTGTTCAGCTCATTTGCCATTTCTAAGTGTAAAATCTGTATTGGAATTGGAGTCAGTTCCAGACTTTAAGTTGAATGGAAATTATAACCAGAGAAGCAGATCAAGAATAAACAAAACTGTAATGTTGTGTAGTACATTGCTCGTCTGTAGAATTCTGTTTTAAACCGATGTGAAGACCAAGAGCCATCAATCTACAAAGTTGTGTGTGTGTGTGTTGTACAGAGACACTACAACCCCATGGTGAGAAAATACACCGCTCATCTGTTGGCTGGAGCGCCCAGTGAGGGCTCAGGAGCGCTTGCCGTAGAATTAAGTAGAAGGTAAATCAAATGACTGCTTTTGCCTGGTTTTATTAAAGTAGAATTTTGTACATGATGTATCTGTTTTGCTGTTATATTAAAAAAACTGAGTAATTCTACAGCACTTACCCCTGTATTTTAGTGTTAGAGTGCACCACAGTCCACCTTGTTAAAATCAGTATTTTCTTCTAGAAGGAGTACGGCTGGGTCATTACAGGCAACTGATTTTCTGAACTCCTCTTTTTTCACTGCATTGTGTAGCATCCTGCATATGGCTCAAATGTTTAGCTGAACCAGTCGTTAGCAGCCATACTGAAACTTTAGAAAATTAGAGTTGTAGCCACATTGTGCTGTTAAAGGCTGGAGTTGTAAGTTGTCTACAGGGATAGTTGAGAAACAATTAAATGTGAAAGAATGTGTAAATGTTACGACGGCGCTTTAAGGCCACTGTTAATAAAAATAAAAATAGTAAACTTCGAGAAAAAAGTCGTAATATTTTGAGGATAAAAGGGGCTGCCATAACGTGTTGGGGTCTCGATTGCTGTACTGGTGCACCGGAGTTCCACTCACTCCTGTCTCTGTGGATCGATCATTTGATCATCATTCTCATTATCCGTGAAACTTCATGCCCTCTTTGAATGGCGCAGAGATGTAGCCACCGATAGCCGTGTAGACGACCTGCCTGCGATTTTTCAACAAAAGTTTCCTCCGAGTCCGTCTGGCTCTTTATTCTAAATAAACAGTTTCCCGCACAGCCGTCATATACTAGTAACAGGCTGGTGCTGATGTACCAGGAGAGACAGGGAGACTGAGTATGTCTTTATGGGTGAATTGATATGAAAGTATAACTGTCCCAACTCCTCAATGCCCCTCATTTAACACAAGGAGGTGCTGCCTTCCCTTTGCAAAACCGTTGGCCACAACATTGTGACCTTTCCTGGTATTAATGCCACTTTAATGTCAACATTTTTCTTGAAATATTACGATTATACTCTTGAAATATTAAAAAAAAAATCTCTAAATATTGATTTTTTTTTTCTCAAAATAGAAACTTTTTTTTTGTTTTTGTTCTCGAAATAGTACGACTTTATTCTACTATTTTTATTTTCATTAACAGTTGCCCTAAAACACCATCGTAAAATGTTGATCACATTAGAGTTTCACAGTATTTAAAACAATGTTGTCTCGTAGAGCACCTGGGCAGCTATTTGAAGATTACAGGCAGAAAGATATGACGTTTAACCCACCGGTGGCAGGACCACCATCCAAAAAGAAGGTAACCGTCCAATCTTAGAACGTCAAATGCATTTATTTGTGAATTATCTAGACTGATTACTCTCTTTCTATATTTCAGGAACATTTCACAATCGGTTCTGCATTTCTGGATTCAAATTTGAAAGAACAAGTTGATGCAGCTCTTCAGGTGGAGAATAACCAAGACTCACTTGACTTTGCCACACACTTTACACATAAGTGACCTTCCTGTGTGGCTGTAAAATTGGGGTGTGGTTGGGGGGGGGATGTTTTATATCAATGTGTATGATATAAATGAGTAATTTTTATGTTGCCTGTTCTGCTTTTTCATGTGACTTGTACAAATATTTAAAAAAAAACTTCTGACCAACTTCTGACCAATTAATAATAAATTTAGGGGAAAAACATCCTTTAGAAAAAAATGGCCAACTCCTCCAACAGTAGGTTTGTTTGAGGGGCTAATCTATTAACTAATATCTATTATAGATTATTTAAAATTGTCAAACTTGAATTAAGCTGTTTATAATTGCTAACATTGTCAATTGCAGATGCAGTGTATATGTGGGCTCGTAGATAATTCAACTTGAAACTCAAAAGTAGCCGTCAGACACCAGTAAAGCTTCCCAGCATGAAGTGATTTGCAAGCTTTATTGGACTTCTTAATTGTTGAAAATGTACAACAGGTCCTGTAATTTCTTCCACAGTAGTCAAATAAGTCACCAGATTAATGTCACAGAAACTAAGTGCCAAAAAAAGAAATGAGACACTGAAGGAGTAGCAGCCGACTCCTATTACAGAGGCATCTGTTCCGCATGAGTCACTGAAATAATCAATTTAGGCCTTTCAAAGCATTTTTTAAACTAAATACTGGTGAAAACACTACTGAATACTGATGAGCATGAACAAATGTAGAGTAAAGCAAAAAAACACCCAACCGTATACATTACACCCTACTTTACTTGCTCAAGTTATCATTTAAAAATGTCTATATAGTGTTCTGGAATTTTTTTATTTTTAAAATATAAAAGTAAAAATATACACGGGTACAGAATAAACTGGATGGGGTAATATTTACACCCTCTGGAATAAATTAGACATGGATTTAACAGTTACAGTCTTATTTATATGTACAAGACAAACATATAGCCAACCTGGGCTACGATATCAAATAAATAATAAAAACAGCTGCGTGGCCGAAGACACTGTAACAAACTGAGGGGGGAAAAAATGGACCTCTTCAAAGCAGGAAAAGAACAAAAGACAGAGGTTTAAACCTTCGTACAGAACGGTTCCACTTTACATTAGTAAATTTAGAAGCAGTCAGGTGTTCAGTAACATAATATAGCAAGGAACATACACAAGAAAAGAGCTGTGAGTAGGTCTTCAAGGCTCCACAGGTTAGTAGAGGTAGTCAGGAAAACTTCATATTTAAATACAACTTTCTAGTTAAAATGTTATGCACACTTACATTGGGACTCGATGTTTAAGTGCGAGTGCTTATTTAGTTAAAGGACATGATGGTGCTACATGCAAAAATGGGGAGAAGAATGTGGTGTCATTTTTTCCCCACATTATCCCACAATGAAAACACATTTTTATGCACTAAAAGTGTCGGTTCAAATCTAGATAGAGAAAACAGTAAAGTGAAACAGGAGTGGTGTACTCAACAATAAAAGTCATAACAATAAAATGCCTCAGATTTAAAGAAATCTTAGCTCATAACAACAAAAGAAATTAAATAAACGTTTTGTTGGTCTCGGAAGTAAATTGTACCTTAAATTGTAAATTGTACATATTAGGGTTTAGTTATTTCTCACATCTTACTAAAATGCGGATCAACTACCCAAACAATAAATAAATAAGGGCACATCTAACAGCAGTCTTACCCCTAACTGAATGATACTGTTTAAATCTATGCTTTAAAAATGACGCACTTCTTGTCTAACAACACTAGCAAGGTTAGTGTTTTTGTGGGAGGGACTGCTACTTTTAATGTTTAAGGGGGGAAGAAAAATAAAAAATCAGAGTGAAATAAATATAGAAAAATTTAAATACATTGGTACCAGAGTGTGGTGCAACCAACAAACAAGCGATGTGCAATAATGCTGTTCAATAATGTGTTACTCGATTACAGTACTGCAGAAAGAAAAAGGAGCTAACTGGTGGGTAAAACCACGTATGCTGCCAAAACACAGGGGAAATGGACATAAACGGCCAAAACTGACCTGCTCTGACCACAAACCCAGCGAAACTTTCCGTACATCCCCACGACCAGCACAACTTCCTCAGCTGAAATAATAAATGCAGCATCTCTATACAGTCCCTAACAGCTCTGTAGACTCGCCGGTCCAAAAGGTGGCTGAGCTTGGGGCTAACTGTTAATAGGCTAACGCTAAGTGCTAACGGCCTAAATCTGCCTCCCCATGCTAATCTGCAGCCAAGAGGTCATTGTGTTCCTTCAGTAAAGCCTGTGTGAGGCTTTGTGAGAACATTTTAGTGCCATGTCAGCAGTGTGTCTGGACTCATTTGTGCAGTTTCCAGTTCCACAGCAAGGGGAAGGTCCAATTGGAGGAAACACCGCTGTCATCAGGATGTCCTTTAACTGACCGCCTCTGAGAGCACAGACGGCCCTCTGCCACCCAGGTCTTCAGTCCCACTGACAACAGAGACCCTTCAAACAGGGGGAGAGAGAAATGTAAATTAAACTCACTCGTTGACCACTTTATGAGCTCCACCTACCTTAATGATCCACTGTATAGGTATTGCAGACTGTAGCCCAAGGATAAGGCTTAACATGTGCCAGTATACAGCTTTGCTTTTAAAAAGTATGCATGGCTTTTATAATTACACTTTTCAAAATAAAAGCTCCTAAATGGTTCCAGGATTCGATGTACGGTTCTAGGAATAAACTTTAATTGTATAGAATCTTTGCATTATGTAAAGGGTTAATTGCACGTAAAAGGTTCCTCACACCTCATTTACAGAAATGGTTCTTTAACCATCCACTGGAAGATTCTTTTAGGGACCCCAAAATGGTTATGACATCCCTCAAAGTTAACGACAGGAGGCTATAGTGTTGTTGTGCTTGGGACTGCACAATCTTAATCAACCAGGCGGGAAATTTATTCAAAATGAAAGTGAAATAAATACGAAAAGGCTTCAAATAAGGCGCCATCAGAGACTCTGGCAACCACACTTTCAAACATTAAGCAACAACAATGTGCAAAACCACAAACGGAAATCAGTGCAATCTGTCAGCCACCGTGTACCACATAAATCATTGGTCAGTTTCAATATTAGCATTACAGCTCAGTGTAAATGGACGGCTGCGTTTGATTATGAAACACTGAGATGAGAAGCGGGAACACATCTGTCGTTTCTACTGTGGCGACCATCCTGTTTGTCTGGGGTAAACGTGGTGACCTTGGCACACAAATGCTGGATGGTATTCTCATGCTATTAATCACACTTCAGTGCAAACACTCTGATAGAGCAGCATTGTCAGAGCTTGTTAATACTGTTAGTGTCCATCACACATTAACACCAACACCTACTGCTAAACTTAGTCGACATCCAACTCCACCTTCAAAGGGGAATATTTAAGATCCCTCCCAACAGCCTAGAGAACACAGAATAGAAGATCCTGCTAAACTATGAGATGGAGCTGCAGGCTTGTGACTTCCATGCTCTTAATAGGAATATTCACCCTACATCCTTCTCATTTGGATTGTTTGCACTGTGAGGGGAAGATTTTTGATTTTGGTTAAAATGCCAACAGTATCAGGCAAGATAAACACCTAATACTAAAATGATTCATTTGGGGAAAGAACAGATTTATGCAATTTTCCCATCACTCTAAATCAATCATTTAATCAACCAAGACATGCTTGGTGTCTAAACTTCTTAATTTGGTACTGGAGCTATCACGCCAATGTAGCTTACAATAATGAAAGCAAATACCCCACCAATTAGCATCATATGCCTTAATCACACAGGCCTGAAAGTGCTTAGGCCACCAAAACACGGAGGGGTAATGCAGCTGGACACAACAGAAAACTGCGAACAAAAGTTTCCACACAAGTCCTACAGCCAACACAACTGTTGGGTGCTCATCTTTACTCAAACAATAAAGCCTGAGTGTCCACATGTTCCCAACAGCTCTGTTCTACACCCTCTCACACTACCTGAGCCTGGATTTATTTAGAAAAATGGGCAGTATTTTTACAGTAGTAGCAGATATGGACAAAATTAAGACAAAGTTGGCTGCTATTACTGTTTTCAGCTTTGCGTCACTTTTTATAGATAACGGTGTCTAACAGTGTCTGAAACCACATGCGCGAGTCTCTGAGATTACTTGACAACTTGATGTGGTTTGAGGTAAATGTGTGATGATTTAGACTTGCAGTTCACGCACTGCTAACTGGCTTTAATTACCTGATAGCTACATTAGCCTCATAGCTCCAGTGCAAAACTTTGAACTCCAAACGTCTCTTGACTAGAATTAGAGTAAATTACATTTTTGCTTTACCATTCTGAAAAAAGACTGGCCAGACAGAAGGACCCACACTGCAAATCAGAAGCAGCTTACCTAGGACATGTCTTCATGTCAGCAGTCCCTTGCGAGAAAATACATGGTCAAAAAGGCCTAGAAAATGGGGGCGCTAGTGAGCTGGCAATGGAGTAGGTTGTGCATTTAAAACTACGTATTTGGCACCTTTAGCTCAGCCGAATTTATCTTTCTTTTTTTTTAGTTTATTTTGTATATATTAACACATAAACGGCCAAGAGTTTGCGGCAGGACACGTACACAGGGAGGAGCACTGCTAACAGGCCTGGTGATTCGGCGTCATCAGCTTGACATGGCAGACACAAAAGCCGAGATTCTCTCCTCTCTGAAAGCGGACACTTCCACTCTCCTCATTTCTGAGCTAAATCTTCTCTTGCTGCTAAATCAGGATGGTGTGAAGGCTGAACTAACAACGTTGCACTACTTCGCTCTGATTTGGGTGTGATAAAGGTGACTGGAACAAAAACAGAACACACTTTCTGCATGTTCAGATGAGGTGACATCAGAGAACTTATAGAGAGGAGAATTTACCACTCTGTAATGTCTTCTGAGTTTCTTAAGAGGGCGCTCCTGAACGAGTCCAAAATGTATGGGTTAAGATGGAGCATTTGAGCACAATCATAGTTTAGAAACGCTTAAACATTTTTAATGTAATAGAATACATTCATTTCCTGAACACTGAATAGCATAAAACATTTTAACACTGCTGTTATATTTTTAGTTTATAGTAGTTTAAAACAGCGTCAAATCGCCTCAAATATATGAACAGATTACCAATCCAAACAGAATACAATCTTTTACTAACTAAAAGTATCAAAACTCTCATGAATAAGACAGCATAGGTCCTATCAACATGGTGAAGATTGTTGTACGTCAGTTAAGGCAGAAAGCTGTTGATCGATGCATCTCTCAAATAAATGATGATTCAGGTGTTCAACATCCAGATTAAGCACAGCTTAGTCAGTGTTTTCATTTCTACTCTATATAATTCAGTTTGAGTCTTTGCTCGAGGATTTTTTTCCCCATTTACTACTGAAGAGTTTATCTTCAAAGTGAAATGTATGCAAAGTGCAAAACCCCAGGACTTTTAATGACATGAAAGCAGCTGATTTAAAAGTAAAATTATTAGTGTTGCATTCATACCCTGTTCATATTTTAGACCAGTTTAGAAATTCTGTAAAAGGTTCAACTCAATATTTAAGATACGATTTAGAACCTGAAAGAGCAAACTTTACTTTTTTTTTAACATCACACATAATATAATTATTATATACATTAATAATTCTCTTTTAAACTACTGAATCTGTCTGGTCTCTAGGCTGTATCAGGGATATGTACCTGGCTGGGACTCCATGCACTGCATGCACACAAACACAATGCAGAGTGTGCATTCAGTCGGAGGCCTCGGGCAGAGGTGGCGCGGCAGGCCATACGCCACGCTCGTCCTTACTCTGCGTTGCCTCAAATACTGGGGGGCCGTTCACAGTCACGCTGCGGCTGCGGCCCGTCAGCTTCCGCAGCTCGCTGGCAAATGACACGCCCTTCCGTTTATCCTCACGAGCAATCTGGAAACACATACATATACACTGCCTGTCACGTGGAGATAAAATGATAGCTTTATAAATTATTTTATTATAATGAAATATGAAATACGTGTGTATATTAAGTAGTTTATCCAGTGGCCTGAAACACTGGAACTGGAACAACTTGTTTTATAACAGTTGTTTTATGTTGGTAAAGCATTTGCAGCTATTAAGTAAAGTACGTGAGAAAGTTTCAACAGAAGGTAAAGCAACTGCAAACTCTTCAGGGGCACACAGTAAGCTAACAGAGGAAAGAGGAAGATGCATTAGCATTTCACAAACCAGATCAAACCATCTGGATCACTTTTACTACTGGTCATGACACATAATAGACCGCAGGTTGTCGCTAACATGTTTAGAGGGCCTGGGTTTTATCAGGGGTCCAATTTACCTACACATTTACATGGCTAAATGCATTTCAGCAAAAGAAGTGCGGAGGAAGAGGATAGTGGTGTGTCTTGGCAGCACTAGCCTTGCGTACCTGCTCTTTGAGTTTGAGGATGAACTTTCCGGTGCCCTTCCACTTGCTCTGGGCCTGGAAAACACACTCGTGGTCCAACAGCACGCGCTGGCTAGGCTTGGCAGAGGATGCCTTCTTTCCTGCCGCCTCACGGCTTACCTCCTCCAGCAGGACGTAGTCACTGGGGTTGGGATTACTCAGGATGCTCAGAGAGTACTTGGCTTTGCTTAGCGTCTGTAATCAGGTGGGGTATGGAGAGTCATTAAGATTGGGCAGAGGTCGCAGTAAAGGTAGAAAATTAAAAAAAAACTAAAAGCAAAATAAAGCAATAAGCCAATCAGATTACAGTGTTTTTTTTCTCATGGTTAAAGGGGAGCTTTTAGATGAATTAAAATCCCTGTAAAATAGTTTATTGCTCATCTAAAACAGAAACAAAACACAATTCGATAAGAAAATACACCAGTGCTAAATAATTTTTTTTTTTTATTATTAGTAATCATGATGATCAATTCGTCCACCAACATAATGCTCTAATCCCTGAACAGCAAAATGTTTTTAATAACTTGATACATTAGTACAGAATTCAATGTATGTGTGTGGTCACGTGTGTATATCAATATTTAACAGCAGTCAGCCAATCAGATTTCAGGACCAGAACTCTCTGTTTTATAAAAACTTAAGATGGTCTGGTTTAATTGGATGTTACTGTCATCATAATATTACAGGGTGGTTTAAACACTCTTTGCAACATAATCATACTCTCTACCTTACAAACCTTCTGGTAAACGCTTCTGGTTATTTAATAAAAATAATGAACATTTGATGCATGTAAAAATATGAAAAATTCAGAGGAATTATCTGAAGTGTGTGTTTCTATTGTAACTACATGTCAGCTGTAGTTGTTAGAGCAATCCACAAAAAGAAGTTGTGGTAAGAAGCCAAACTGTACAGTCTTATGTTGCAGGCTTACATCTTATCATTAAGACTGAGAAACTAGAGAATGTGTTCCTGTTGAGCTGACCTGCTGGATGATGTCCTGAGCAGTGCTGTAGCGTGGGGCTTTAATGACTGTGTGAGGCTGTTCTGGTGAAACATCGTGCACCTGCACAAAAAACATGTCCTCCTCTCCTCCACTGTTCACCTCCTCTGCTCCCTCCAGCACAGTGTTCCTCTCGTTAGGATTCTGTCAATAAAGCAGCTGGTTTAGTTCCATTGCTTCAGTACACATTTCTGAAAGTCACAAAACGTGAAGCCTGGTGGTTACAAATGAAGGGTCAGATGGAAAACAAATTCAGTTGATGTCTAAAATATTAGTATTAATTCAAAATTCAAAGTTCCTGGTGGGACACGTGTGGAAAAATGCAAATTGGCTACAAGAGAATGTAAATGATTTTGTCATGAGACTTTGTTGAATGGGACATTTCAGTAGTGGGTGCCCACAAAGACTTGGACAAAAAGTCATTAAGTATTATTTTGTTGTATAGGTATTTATCTCCTTTAAATAATTTTACCCCTCTGAAATCTTATTTTATATTTTCTGAGTAAGGCCAAGCGCTTAAACAACAAAGATATTTCTTCATAAGTTTTTTGCTCATCTTCACCAAATCTACCAATAATTCTGGTAGGTACCGAATCAGTGTGTCCCATTTCAGGGGCTGCACCCTTCAGGGGCTGCATTTGAAGGCCGATTGTGTCATAGTGGCGCGACTAGGCTGTCCCATGTCCCAGGCTCCTTCATATGTAGCCGAGAAATGTGTCCGTCTTTTCCATGGCAACAAAGGATCCATCGGGTGCATCCTTCGCCAGCCAACATATCCCGAGGTTCATCGCGTGCTGGCAAGGATTTGAGAACATGGCGGCATCAACAGAGAAGCGAAAGGCGGCTGAAGAGTACACTTTAAAATATACTGGGTTGGGTATTGGGTTTAAACTCTGGCGAATGGCTAACAATACAAATGAAAAAAATAAATCTCATCAGTAACCGGCGGAAAAGCATCTCCAGCTCTAATAAATGAAAAGATAAACAATTAAAATCAAAGTTTCTGGCTCCGTCTTTAAAGAACTTTAAAATAACTTGACAGGAGCGGTGTTTCGTGACACACCGGTAAGGGCGGGAACATCGGTGCTGTGACACAAACAGAAAATCCACCGTAGAGCAGACTGACTCATTTCAGTTCAGCCTTCGCGGGTCTAAGCAGCCTTCGAAGGACACACCTTCGTAGACCGCGTCCTTCCAGCCCCTGAATTGGGACACACTGAATGTCTGTAATCAAGCAGTATGTATTTCATCTCAACTGCACATTTGAGATGTAACACTGGACATTTCACTAGATGAACATGTTCATGGCTCGTACACAAGTGCCCTGAAATACTGGAGAAAGGTTATTGTTAAATGGTCTTTAATACAATCACTGCTTGGCTTTCTTATTTTGTGTAATAAAAGCACTGTAAAGTCTGAAATCGTGGTGAAAAGTCATGGCACCAACTGGTAATATGACAAACAGTGGACTCTGGGAGGTTAAACTGTAGCACTGCTTCAGAAATCTGTAGATTCATATATGCCGATAAATCATTGTCATTCTCAAACAACACCTGGTTATTTATTTATAAACTATTTATAAACAACTACACACTAAAACTTGCATTAATATGTATTGGTTATGGAAAAAAGCATCATCAGAGGAGCCCTAAACAAATCAGACAGCTGTTTACCTCCTCCCTAATTTTAAGGTATATTCTTCCCACGTAGCCCTCCTCTGGCTGCCAGCTGTGCAGCGTTTTAAGAACCCTCTCATCGGGTGGTAGGGAGCGCTGCTGAGGTATTTTCTTCAGGTCACTTTTCTCCTTCGACAGAGACATCTTCTCCTCCATTAGGAAGTAGTCTGCAGAGGTATCTGGAACCAACTGGTGAGGACAACAAAATGGACTGTGTTTACAGGTTGAGGAATTGTGGATATGTGAATGTTAGCAGACAAGTATCTGGCTAGCATCTGTGTGCTAAAGTAAGACTCATTCATTATAAAGAGCACAGTGTCTCTAACTGGAGTGCTACCTCCAAGCTGACCTGAAGCAGATCCTCACATCCACACAGCTGTAGAAATGTTCACAGCTACATACAGGCACCACAGACATGACAAACACTCACAGCTGAACACTCACAGTTTAGACGTGAGCTTTTTAAGTGCGCTGAGACTCACCATGTCCAGGAGCTGCTTGGCCGTGGTGTGTTCACTGACATTGACTACAGTAAACGGCTCTGGGCCTGGTGCTCCGTGCACCGTTATTTTGTGTGGTATCGCCGCTCGCCTCTCCTCTGAGCTAAACAACTGAAGGAACACAGAAACAACTCGCTTATAAAGTCCTCAGCCACAAATTACATAACTTCTTATATATCAGTCGGTTATAACAGGTAGGAAAACTGATGTATATTTATAAAAAAGGTTCCGCAAAACACTGGTTGATTTGAATGAAAGCATAGTGTAGTAAAGAAGGCTGTACAGTTCTTTGTGATTTCCTGTTTACGTTAAGATGCTGAGCTGGAATGGTGGGGATTTTGGGATGCGTTGCATTCTTAAGCTGTAAAAACATCAAAAATATTCCCAGCATGTTCTGCTAAGTATGCTGCCTGTTTCCTGGACGTGTTCCACAGCAGCGCTTACTTAATCTAAACTGGACTTTACTCACGCAGAACATCTCTATTTAAACAGCTGAACACAATTTCAGGAATTATGCTTGTAATACAGCATGAAGCAACCAATCTATTACCGAAAAATCAAATGTAGTCAATCACTCACTAATCAAGACACGTTTGGCATCCAAAGTTTAGTCCTGGAGCTGGTGTAGCTAATAATTAATGGACGTTTAGTAATCAGCACCGTGCAAACTGCATGCTTAAATCATTACACACTTGAGTTTATCAAATCTCAGATATGTTGTTGGGAGAGTTTGCTAATGTGGTCTGACACTGTACAACTGACACAATGTTAGCTACAAAAATGGATAAAGGATCTTACAAAGCAAAAAACAAAAAAAAGGCATCTTAAATCATGAATTTTGTCTGTATTTTGAGTTTTTTTTTATTTTTTATAGATCATTTTTATAGATAAAATTCTCATACAGTATCTTGATGTGGTTTGAGGTAAGCGTGGGATGATTGGCCATGCTAATGGGTGTGTGAGGGCTACGTGATTTAACTGTGAGGGGTCTCTTGAGGGTCTCACCACAGCCGCAGGCCGGGGTCCTCCAATTGGACTCTCCTCTGTCCTGCGGCTAAACAGGAACAGGCTGGACACCTCCAGTGGTTCATTGTGCTGGTTCCTCAGCTGTAGGTGTCTGTAGCCTAAGCAAACATGTAACAGAGATATAAAATGCCAGCCATCATAGTCATCATCATGGAGCTTCCAGAAACTAACTGAAAATATATAAAAAATAAAAACATTATACAGAGACAACAACTAATATTTATCAGAGGTCTCCACAAGGACACCCCCACAAGGCCGGATTCCTCGATGAGCCAGGTCATTTAAGCCAAAAGTGAAGAATGTAGAATAGGAACTTCCCTTACCTCTTTGATTATTGAACAAACTTGTCTTAGGCTTTAAGTTAACTGAGAAACCCTGCTATAACGGATTATAATAATATTAGGTAGAGTACGCTCTCGTTTTGGGCCAAAATGTTATTCTAAAGCTTTTTTTTTAAATAAAAAAAATATAGGAGCACTGTTTTTATCTCTTGTGTTGCACTGCTATGGAAATAGTTCCTCCAATCGTATTAATGGATTAATGCATTCAGTCATTCATCTCCTTAAACCGCCTGATCCAGCTAGGGTCACAGTAGTGATAGGGAAAGCAGGGAATCCCGAATGACCCTGTCCTCCGCAACTTCCTCAGCTCATTCTGGGGTATCTCGAGCCGCTCCCAGGCCAACATATATATAAATATAATCCCTCCAGTGGGCTATAGGACGACCTCGGGGTCTCGTCCCAGTCGACTGTGCCTGGTAAACTTCCAACGGAAGGGGGCCAGGCAGCATCCTAACCAGATGCCTGAAACACCTTAATTGGCTCCTCTCAATGTGGAGAAACAGCAGCTCTATACTGAGCTCCTCCCAGATGACTGAGCTCCCCACCCTATCAAGTAGAGTGCAGCTCACCACCTTGCGAAGAAAACCCATTTCCGCCACTTGTATTCGCAATCCCATTCTTTCGGCCATTACCCAATGCTCATGACCACAGGTAAGGGGGGATGTAGACCAACCGATAAACAGAGAGCTCTGCCTTATGGCTCAGCTCCCTCTTTACCACTACAGTCCGGTATAGTGACTGCATTACTGCTACCGCCTGTCCCAGCCTGCGGCCGATCTCACAATCCCTCTTCCCATCTCTTGTGAACAAAACCCTAAGATACTTAAACTCCTCCACCTGGGGCAGGTCCTCTCCTATTACCTGCACGGGGCATGCCATCCTTTTCCGGGCAGGGACTAAAATACAATATATTGTGTACCCTGCCCAGGAGAGGGTTACCAGGACCTACTCCTGGAGCCAGGCCCAGGGGTGGTTTTCCTCGGGGAGCGCCTGGTGGCCAACAGCCCTCATAACCTGACCAGGCTCAGCCCAAAAAGGCGACATGGGGGGGACCATATGGGCCCACCACCTGCAAGGTTTAGCATGAGGGACCCATGCGGTACCTTACAGGCAGTGGGAGATGCCAGGGACGTCCTTGGCGGCATCGACCCCTGTAGCGGAAACTTTATGGATTCAGTGTAATTAAAAAAATTATTCTGAATTGAACAAAAATAATTTAATCGTGGTGAAATCTGGGATTATGGATTATGCAATTAACTGTCATCTAAAGAATAAAGCAATAAGCCATGAGAGGCTGTGAGTTACTGTGATGCATGATGCAAAGCCATAAATTAACATGAACTAATGTGAATGGAATTGTGCTCTGACCAGGTTTGAGGGCTTTGAGGGGCAGGATCCTCTGTGCTGTGATCTGTGAGCTGTTGTTCTCCACCACAGCCAACCGCAGGAAGGCCATGTCCTCGAAGTGCACGTGAAAGGAGAAGTGCTCATTCCACATGGGGTTGAGTGTGTTGCGGTGGATGGGTTTGGTGCGAAAGTGGCAGGTGTCAACTGGCAGGCCTAAAACGTCCACCTCCACACATGTGCTCCCAATGCTGTTCCCCGGACATACGTTCTGACCTGACACCACCTGGAAAAGAGGGATACAGGAGGTGTTTGTGTGTTTGACAAAACAGGAGCAATACTACTATACGTACTTAGCACAGTGAATAAAAGCAGCAATCAATGAAATAAAGGCATGTCACTGTTATCTGGTTTGAGAATCCTCTTCAGGCGGGTGAAATGGCAAAGAAAATCGTAGTACTTATTTTGACAACAGATGATATGTATCATTATATGTACAATTATGAGTACAATGTTTTTTTTTGTTTCAGATACTGTGCTACAGTAAATCCAATTAAACAGTAATGATTCCGCTCTCTTTTTAACAAAACATGAAGTTGGTCAGTGTTCTTTAAAGGCCCAGCACAGAATTTTCCTCCTTACTCAAAATGTTAAATTAGCCGAAAGTATGTGATTATGTTTATTATTCTTCTGCCTCAGTCCAACATTTATTGGGCACTGCAGCAGAGTCCATTAAAATGACCTCTAAATGAGTAAGTTTTTGTGTACTGCCCCCAAACCACCATTTAGAAACTACACTTTATTTGGCGTGATTCCGCCCAATGACTGCTGGGATAGGCTCCAGCACCCTCTGTGACCCAGAAGGATAAGCAGCTTATGAATAATGTGTGTGTGTGTGTGAATCATACGTTACCTTATATTACATATTTATAAACTGTGAAATCAACTGATCCTCCGACACTTCACACTCATCGCTCTACTTGTGTAACGTTATAGCTGCTAGGAGACAGCACTCATTTACAAACGCTCAGTTTTTGGATGAAAGAGGTCGAAGGTCACTGTCTACATTCTGTTCCAAACAAGACCAAATCAAAATGGCTCAGATTTATTTATGGGGGTGAAGTTACAGAGTTTGTATGAGTTTGTAATAAGCATTTATTTGCCAACTCATTTTAAAACTGGGCTCAATATAGCCCCAGATTTGCCAGCTGACTCAAGCTGAAAGGAACAGCCTTACTGACACTTACGGGAGGCGATGTGGATAAGACGGTAAATCTTTATGTTTAAATAACTCATTGTTTTCATTTGACAGTTTATTCAATAATGTTGCTAACCATGAGAATGTAGCAAAATGTGAAGCCTGTTTTATCTAATTTGGCTCACTAACCTTACATTAACGTCCCACATTTAGTTCCCGGCGTGTACAGCTAAAGCCTGGTAGCTGGACCTGGTTAACCAGCTGGATGAAAGCTAGTTAGCTAGCTAACATTAGCTAACAGCCGACACGGTCAACGGCGGAACTGACACCGTGATTAAAAAGTGGCTAATCTAGCTAATTCTCTGTGTATTAACGTAAAAGCCATCAGTATATAAGTAATGATACCGATCTAAATACGTTCTTAAAATATGAACTGGGGCCCACACAGCAGTACGGCAGAAGGCGACAGAGAATAAAGAAAACACAAATCAATTGTGTAAATGTCGTTTTTGAGGAAAAAGATTAGAAGGTAATAGAAAAATATAACACTATTTTTTTATAGATTAAAAACATATCTGCAGGGCCTTTAAGCCTTAACTATACCCATGATATGTCCAGAAAACTATACTGTTATGTAATTTATTACAAGTATAGTCACAATGCCCCTCCTTACTGGGTAGTTATTTTGTATCTCTTCTCTCTTTCTTCTCTATTCAGCTATCTATTTTTTTTTCATCACAGACCTGTGATGTTTTCTGCCACCAGTACCAAATAAGGCTGATTAAAAAACAAACAAACAAACAAACTCAAGCAGCAAATGCCTAAGGCTGGTGCCATTATGGCTTGGTAAAAACCTCAAAGCATGGAAACTTCTGAAGACATGCAATGAAACCACGGCTATGACCAACAGTCATCTTCTGTCTACATAATATTAAGCATAATATTATTGTTGTAATGTTTAAATATTACTGTCTGTGCAGATTATGGCCATTAGTTATGTTTTTTTTCCTCAGTGTGCACATTAAACACGCGACCATCTGAACCACGAATCTTGTGTATAATTTATACTGTGTATTCAGGGTTTTTGGACACACATACTGGCCCTTTGGGTTTAAGGGGTTAATCAATATTTATTTTATAAGCCTATGAATAATAATAATGGCAAGTCTTGCTGTGGCACATAAACGAAGTCTCCATTGTGACTGACCTATATTGCCGCCCTTGAAGTGTGTCTGTGGTGTGTTCTTACAGTGAGGGTGTATTGAGTGGGGGTCATGTGCTCCAGCTCTCGGTCCAGTGGGCTGAACTGCTGATAGAGCGGACAAGAGCGGTCCCACAACACAGGAGGCTTCAAGACAAAGCCACAGTGACCGTTTGCCTCGAACAGAGCAGAGTTCAGCTGCATGGGCAGGTCTGCACCACAAAACACAAAACACACACTTAAAGACCCCCAATTTACAAATCACCAGCATGGGAAATGCAATTTTGCCAATCTGACAATCTCATACCTTTAAACATGTGACCACAAGGATCTCAGATATTATTTTTTTAATACAACATTGGGCCTCATTCAGCAAAATCTTCCTAAATTTTTTTCTTAAGTTTGTTCTTGAGAAAGGTCTGAAGAGAAAGTCTACGTTAGATTCATGACGTTTTCTTAAACTGCAGAATTGTTTGTGCTTGAGTGAGCGTAGATTCGGTTCTTACCTAAGAACAAATCCCAAATAATAAAATATTGGCGAATGTCAAAATCTTCGTAAAAACTGTCTAAATGGGTTTTAAAAAGAAATTTCTTCTTAAGAACGGTTGGTGAATGAGGCCCATTGGTTCCATCTGTGAATACTAATTCTTGGGTATCTTTAAAAGAATAAAAAAAAATCAACTGTACACATTTTCCCCCTCTCCCAACAATGTAGGGGACTGACCAAACCATGCTTGAAACCCAAATTGTGTCTTTACCTTTGTCTATTTTTATTGGTATCACTATTTCATATAGTGTCAGAAACCACAAAAGCAAGTGAGTTTGAGATTACTTAACAACTCAGTACAGCCTGAGGCAAGCCTGCTAACTACTTGATTGCTAGATTAGTCTTGTATCTGCTGTGCAAAACTAAAGAAGTTCAGATATCAAACATTTCTGGATGACTGTCTGAATGTGTGTTAAGCAAAAAATTGTAACCAATCACTTTAAAAGATTCTTCACTGACAATAATCTCTGTCTCTGTTATTCGTATGTTAACACATCACATTGTTTCCAGCTGTGAACTCTGCAGAAGTCTGTTTACATTCATCCCAGTTACACCTGGTCTCTGCCATTCAATCATGTGCAATATCAAATTACCAAGCAGAAAGCCTGATTTTGTCATGTAGAGGGTCTGTGTACCTTTGGCCGTTTGATGTCCATTTCAAAAACCAATACTGAAAAACTAGAAAATGGCTCGATTATTGTTTATGGTTCTGTTACTGTCAGTGGAAAAATCAAGATTTTATACTTTCACAAAACATACATGGAACAAGAGGGTCATAGATACTTAATCATATAAATAAATTTTAAATTTGGATAAATAAACTACGACTCCCTTTTTTATAACTCCATTTTTGTTTGTGAAACTATAAAATGAAGCTGTTTCTTGATTTTTCCACTGACAATAACAGAACCAAAAACAAGAATCGAGGCATTTTCCTGTTTTGCAACACTGGTTTTTGAAATAAAAATCGAATGACCAAAGGTACACAGACTGTGGAAGCTGCTCACCATCGGTCTGGTAGTTAAGGGCAACAAGCTGGATGCCATGCAGCCAGAACGAAAGGGGGTTGGGGTTGGATGAGTCGATGCGGGTGGCGGCCGGGTAGGTGCGCAGCAGCTGGCCTGCTGTGTGCTGGATCAGCTTGGATGAGTAGCGCCGGCACAGGCGCTTGGCAGCATTCTCGTTCACTGAGGAGATGTGGTAGCACTTGGGTGTGCGGATGATGGCACTGAGCGAGGGTGCCGGGGTAGAGGAAGACAAGACCTGCTCCTCCAAATTCACCCTCACACCCTCCACACCAGCTGCAGGGAAACAGAACAAATACAGCGCTGTGAGGAAGGCAGCTCAAACTGTGATTAGCGGCGGACGTACAGTATCAGTCAAAAGTTTGACTGTATGTATGCTCTTCGATAATCCTTAGGACATTCAATGACCATAGGTGTTATTTAACAGCTCTGATATGTTCAATATTATTCTATAATAATAAACCTTCTATAAGTATGCCTGTCCTGACGTTTGACTGGTGATATTAGTTCTGCTTGAGATCAGTTACAGAAGACGGTGAGGCTACAATTTCAGAAAAGCTCTTGAAAATGAAAGGAAACGTACTTTAAAACTACAAATAAACACATAAAACTCAAAATTTGGCAAACGAATATAAACAGGATTAAAACTAGGCTTGTGGCCAGTGACTGGGCATATAACAAACACAAATATCCCAGTAAATATCCCAGTAAATTGTAGGTAATTTGGTGATGGAGAGGTTCAAAGAATATTCCAGATATTTTCTTTATATCTCTACCTGCCAAGTCTGTAGCATACAGTCGAAGGACAATAACGTTGATGTCTTCGCTAAAAAAGGTTTACTAAAACCCTTTGGTTTGTGTTTTGAGTCAACAGGTTTACTGTCCTTTTCTAAGTACAAAGATGTAATCAATTGCTGTAACTGATCATATGATGCAGGCGATAGAGATGAGGTTGAGGAATGCTGGAGTACTCCTTTAAAATCATTAATCATAACACAACAGAGAGAAAGTCTGCCCATTGGCAGGGGGATGTGCTAGCACTAAATGGATCAAGAGATCAGCTCCCCTAATGTCTTCCTACTGTAGTCTCTCAAGCGTAAACACATGGAGTTAGAATGTTAAAATTCCTGCATGTGGTTTTGCTTATGCCTAGAGGCAAAGACTGGAAACACGCAGCGCAGAGAAGGTATTTTTATGTGCTTTCGAGGGACTGTTTTAAAAAGAGTGGAAAAGTTAAACAGGCTTTTCCCATGGGTGCTCTAAGTGGGTGTTCTGTTTCCTGTGTGATCCAGGGCGGCCGTACCTTTCCCTGGGCCACGGACCAACGTCACTGGCTCCCCGGGGTTTCCACGCACAGGAGCAGCGCCAAAGATGGACTTCCGACTCTTTCGGTCCTTTCCCCTTCCAGAGCCCGGCAGTGAGAGGGTGGAGAGGCCTGGTTTCCACATCCCAAACATATACACTAGTTTTTACATAATGTTAGGACATGGGGTCATGACATTACATAACACTGCTAAAGGAACAAAACCTCGTATCTCCAAAATGATAACTTCTCAGGAGAAGGAAAAAAACCTACTTTACTATTAATGTAGGTCACTGGAACCAGACTTTTTTCCAAGTCACTTTGGGCCGTTTGTTCTGGTCCATTGACCATGAAATTACACACGGCAACAGGCGTTTTCAAATTTTGTCAAAAACTGAAAACTGACTACAATATCTATCTAATAAGCCCTCCTGAATTTACAAAAAGATACTGGTTTTATGGTATTTCATCAGATATCTTACGATTGAATTAATCTCCCTCAAGTTTTATTTGATTTAGTCATTTAAAAAAATAAAGAACTCATTTTATTTTAGAAAAATGATTCATTTTAATAACTGACAAGCTTATGAACAATGCAAACATGCTTTGAAAAATTACTAATAATAAACACGTAAACTGTGAACCACTGTATTTAAAACACTGAAAATATTTTATGCAATCAAATTAGAGATGTTCCTTCTAAGTCTACCAGCTGACTAATCACAGCATTGGACTAAGTCAATCTACACATAAACACATTTATGTATTCACTTATTTAATTTTATAAAGCTGAAGGTATTTTTCTCTCAGTGGTTTGTTGACCATTTGAATCACGTAGCTACTTTACTGAATATGTTTTTCATGTGTATCAATTGTGCACTAGATACGAAGTAAAGCAAACAAGATACAACAACAAGAAAAAGAAGTCATAGAAATGACAAAAAAAGCTATTCTAAGAAAGACCTATGATAAAAACGAAACATATATCTTCTCTGTCTTTTACATCGTGTTTAACCAATAAAATTATTTTATCTTCAGACATATGTGCTCATGTGGAGAGACTGTCCTGAACATATTAAACTTTAAAAGGTGGTCTTAAGGTTAATGTGGTCTAATAATTCTGCTCAAGATTTAGGTGTTACTTTCCATTTTAAAACCTTCTTTAAAAGACTGCCAAGTTGGGTCACTTCAACTCAGAAGTCTTATCATCAAGTCGGACAGTTTGGGCTCCCACTTAAACAGAAATATTCAAAAACTTATTGCGGTTTAAACACAGCACTGCAGCTCCATATACTATCATTATATAAAAAAAAACAAACAAAAAAAAAACAACAAAAAAACATTTTTCTGTTTCTTGAAATATTAGCAGTAATTTACGCAGTGTGCTTAAAGGGTACGCTGTCATGGCCGATCTTTACAGACATGCTTATTCTACTTCTGAGAGAAAAGGTTTATTATTACAAATATCTATACAAATATCAAAAGATTTTGAATGCAAGCCTAATGTCTAAAAAAACCACTAGGCTTTTTCACTGCTTTTTATGTACAAGGGCACAGCATGGCGAATTTACATTGTGAAGAGCAGACCTGAGCATAGATAGTCTCTGGAATTCATTTTGATGCAACCCCTCAACATCACTGTGCATACATTGCCTTACCTGTCTCACAAAATTCAGACAAAAAGAATTATATTTGCCCAAAAGTCAAAGCAGAAAAAGACGATTGTTAAGACGGCAAGTTTTAACTACTCCGATTTTTAAAATATTTTACAGTAAAAGTGCAAGTAGGCTTATAAGGTATGTCGGCTTATTGGTCACTCCCCTATAGTTAAATGAAAGCTTACATTTTAGTTGAAAACTAGATTTAAGTTCTACATTGCGATTCTTAGCTGGGGCCGCCCCAATTCATGTACCATTAGAACAGAGAAGAACATGGCTTTTTCATATTTCACCCCAGACATCAAATTCAACTTAGATATCATATTCTGTCATTATTTAAATTTACACTGTGAACAGCAAATCCAAGAAGCGATAGTCTATAATTCCCTTTCATCTGACTCATGCTGTGTCCCTGTATTTCTTAAAGAAATTAGGCTTCCATTGAAAATCTATTGACAAATGCCATACAAATGAGTAGTGGGCTTACTGGTCAAAAGTGTAAAGTAATTAGTTAAAGCATCTTCTATAATTCTACAGAAACAAGCAAACAAATAAACAAACAAATGAAATCAGAAAAAAACATTTTCTATGTTGGAAATGCAACAACACAAAATGGGATAGATAATCTGAATAATGAATCCTTCTTTAAGCATGTCTAAGGTTTCACCATGACAGCGTACCCTTTAAGCCATGGTAGAATTAGAAAGTACGCTGTCAAGGCTAAACTAAATAATTAATTAAAATAAACAAACAAACAAAAACAACAGACCAACAACAACAACAAAAACCCAGAAAATATTAGTTTGTATATAATAATTTAATGGAACTAAATTGCTAGGTTTTTATATTATGACAATGTCTTTTTAAGTAGTAGCCCAAACTATCAGACTGCTATATGACTTTTGAAACGTAACATATTTAACTCGTAAACAACACTGTCAAAGAGGTAAGTACTTTATTCTTACTTATTAATTATATATTATGCAAAAAATAAAATTTAAAATGAATTAATTTAATTTTACCTGGTCGTCTGAAATTCTGAAAAAAATCTTCTGTTCAGGACAGTTGCTTCAAGCTGACATGGATATCTCAAGATAAAAAAATATTATTTCTTAACTCACAGCGACAGACAGGTTTGTCTAATGGATAAGACTGCAAGTGTTTTTTATACTCTGTTCAATTTTATTCTAATCTATTTATAATCTATTTCACATTAAAAGTACATGCGGGCTTATGAGGGGCTTTTCCTATGTACTTTTTACTTTCACTTATTAAAAATAATAATATTAATAATATCTCACATGTATTATATATCGTTGCTGTCTGGACAAAACCTGTAGTTGTTATTATTATTATTATTTATTGATTTATTTATTTTACATAATTTGGAAACACCAGTTGGACTTCACATTGTGTGACGATTTCATGATAAATTAACCAACAGAAATGGTCCAAAATTACTTAAGTTAAGAAGGTATTTTCCTTCTCCTTAGAAATACAAGGTTTTGTTCCAATAATATGCACAAGTACATATATGCAAGTATCTATATGTAATTAGAATTTGCCTAAACCTAAATCTAACTTTAACCTCCAAATTCCCCAAAGGTAATAGTTTTGCCATTTCAGTGTAAAAAAAAGAAACATATAAGTTACATTTGTTGGTCCTGACATTGTAGGTTATCTCTTGTCTCTGGTTTTCCCACAAAGTAAGACATTTTTGTCCTGAACATGTACAAAAACACACACACAAGCATGTAAGGGTCTGGGCTGCAGGGCATGGTCTCCTCCTGCACTCGCTTCATGTTGCTTGTTTGTTCAGCCTGTGCTCGGGGGACTGCTAGTATTTTTCTTTGAAATCAGAATCTGATTCTAATTTACCACCATGCTAGTCCCTCCTGTTTCATTTGTTAATCCTTACTGTTATATTGTTATAACAGGAAACTACAATATGTAAATCAGCACTGTATCATTTTACATTTGATTATTACTGTGTAATGGCAGCATTCTAACAAATAAGGTAAGGGCTCTGAGGGTACTGTGATATCAGAAATACAAACCCCATTTCCGGAAAGATGTGACTTTTTGTAAAATGCGTTAAAAACAAGAATCTGTCATTTGTTAATTCTCTTGAACTTTTATTTAACTGACAAAAGTACAAAGAAAAGACTTCTAACATTCCACTAACAAACTTAACTGCATTTGGCAAATATAAACAAATTTATATTCAATGTCGGCAACACACTCAAAAAAAGTTGGGAGAGAGGCATGTTTACCACTGTGTTACATCGCCTTTCCTTCTATTTACACTTTTTATCATTTGGAAACTGAGGATACTAATTGTTGCAGTTTTGCAAGTGGAATGTTTGCCCATTTCTGCTTGATACAAGGCTTCATCTGCTCAATAGTCGGTGGTCGTCATCTGATTCTCCTCTTGATGATGCACCATATATTTTCAAGACAGATCCAGACTGTACGCAGGCCAGTCAAGCACACACTATGGCCATGAAGCCATGATCTTGTAGCACATGCTGAATGAACCCTGGCATTGTCTTGCTCAAACAACCAGGACTTCTCTGGAAAAGATGTCGTCTTGATGGCAGCATAAGTCACCCACGCCGTGGGCACTGATGCACCCCATACCATGACAGATGTTGGCTTCTGCACCTTTTGCTTATAAAAGCCTGGATGCTCCCTTTCGTCTTAGGCATGAAGAACCTGATGCCCATTTTGCCCCAAAACAAGCTGAAACATGGACTGCACAGATTTCAATTTAGTTTCAGACCATTTGAGATGAGCTCAGGCCCAGAGAACTCGGCGGCATTTCTGCATAGAATTGATATATGGTTTTCTCCTTGCATAATAGTGGTTTAAGTTGCATTTCTTGATGCAGCAGCAGTGTTAAGTGACCACGGTTTTCCAAAGTACTCCAAAGCCCATGTGGCTATATTTAACACAGTAGCATGACAGTTTCTCATACAACAGTGATTTCCAACCTTGCCCTATACAGACTCAGATTTCTCTGGATTCCCTGAATCTTTTCACGATATTATGTACAGCAGAGGGTGAAAGGCCTACATTCTTTACAATCTTGCACCTTTGCTTGCAAAGACTGAGCCTTAAGTGGATGCTCTTTTATCATGATACCTTCATCCGTTACCAACTCACTTGCTTATTGTGGAATGTTTCAAAATGGTGTAATTCAAATATTCTATAAACTTTCTCTTATTCTGCCACGTCCCTAATTTTTTTTTTGAGTGTGTTGATGGCATTAAAGTCAAATTTTTTATCTTTACAAAATATAATTAGCCAAAGCACTAAAAGTCATTTCTTTGTAGTTTATTCAGTTAAATAAAGGTTTAAGAGAATTAACAAATAACAGATTCTTATTTTATTGCATTTTACAACAATTTTCCAGAAATTGGATTTCTACTTCTGGCCAAGATAATGCAAGCTGCTTTTTAAAGGGCCCACATAACAAGGCTGTTTAATTCTAAGAGACAAAGACAGGTTGGAAAACGGTCATGTAAAAATGAATTATGACTGTTTTTGCTACATAAAACCACACTACTGTCATAAGAATACTTTTCTTCATTAGAAGGCAGAGGCAAAGGTCACGCATAACTCAAAAACAGGACACTCAAATGGCTCCAAATGAAAAGTATTATGGGACTAAGAACTTCCTGCATTTTTTAATACCTCCTTGTCTTTGTTTGTTTGTCTAAATAAATAACCAAGCAGGCTTATATGGTATACGGGCAACTACATCCAAGTTGTTTATCAAACAGCTTTGCTTATGTTTTTTCTGACACTAAATAACATGCAGTTGTTTATTATAAAGGTCAAAAGTTTCCATTAGGATGGGGTATTAGCTACATTAGCATTAACGTCAGAAACTAAATAAGTCTTGGCAGACTACATTTGAGGTAAGGAGAACACTGTTGTGTAAATATCACTTTAAGCATGTTACATTGTGTGCTCATCAAAGTGCTTTTAACTGGAAGGCACACTGCAGTCCCTTTACACTGCAGTGTAGTTACAGTATCTCTAGTGAAATGCACGGTCTGAGGAGGCCGGGCCCCACCTGGGAATTTGACGGCCTGGCAGTAGATGATGAGGTCGGAGAGTTCCTGAGCGATCTGCCTGCTCTCCTTCTCGTTCTGCGGCAGGTAGAACTCCTCCCCAAGCTCCATGTCGAACATCTGCACAAGCACAGGCAAAGCAGCACTCTGTACATCACTTTGCACTGCAAACAGTCATGCTGTGGTTGAGTGTGCAGGGTTTTAGTGTAAGTGAGTCTTACGTCTACCTTTCCTTTACTCCCTGCTTTCTTAAACCTCTTCGGCATCTCGTCGTTGGACTCGTACTGCAGTTTCTCACTCGATGCCTTCCCCTCAGGCTTGTCATCCAGAATGTTATCTGTGGATTAAGGAAGAAAACGAGCTGTTAGTTCAGTTAACGTTACACTCTACGCTGCCAGTCAAAAGTTTGGGGACACTCAGCATAATTTTTTAATACAAATGGACTTTTTTTTTGGTGGTTTGCAAGAAGGTAAGATATAAAACAAAAATTGGTCATAACTTAATAATTTTATTTGTAAAAACTGCCAAACAGAATTAAAACCTTGGAAAATCCTTTGGAAATAATACCAAACATCATGCATTTTAACCCCTTGTTGCCTGTACTCCTCAGCACCTAAATCCTCCAGGTGTTTAAACCTTCTGGCCAAAGGTTTTTAGGTGCGTTCTCACTTAATTGCAAAGTGAGTAGGAAAAATCAAACATTTCAAAAGAAGGCATAGTGTCCCCATACTTGTAACGGGTGCTGTATGTACGGTGATGCAGACAGGAAGCACAAGCAGTGACTGCTTTAAAGCGGAATTTTGAAGAAAAAAGAAAGTAAACATGGCATCAGCAAAACAAACCAGAAAACAACAGTTTCATCCCTCAAGTGCAATAAGAACTTGAATTTTAATAACTTGAATTTTCACCACTGCAAGAGGCAATCACACTCATTACAACCACTTATTAGGCTACGCAGACTCACTATCTCATCCTGATCTGATTGCTGGATTCCCTGGGGTGTGCAAGATGGGAATGGGCAAAAAGTGAAGGGGAAAAAAAAAATCCCACTTCTCTTTTTCAGCAAAAGAGCACCCAGGGCCTGAGAAACCAGATGGCTTTGTTTTTTTTCTCTGATGAGCCAGTGCTGCTAGCAAGGTCACATCATTTTCAAAACACTGTAGACAGAGTTAGGGGGGAGGGGAGGGGGGCAGCTTGATGTTTAAACACCACACAGCTCGTTTTTGTTTACTCATAACACTGCTTATTAATAAAAAAAAATGGTCCAGACCAATTTTTTTAACTAGGCGTAGACTTCCACAAACACTGCTATTTTGGCTTTAGCCAAATGCATATTTGCTGTCCAGCAGCAGGCAATCCGCACAAGCTCCCAGCACCCCAAATACACTGCAAGACTGCGCTGCATATACATATGCACAAACATACACAAACACTGAGGTTACCTTCCTGGCAAAAAGATGCGGTGGAAGCATTGAGGACATCAGCTATGAGAGATGAAAAGAAAGGAAAAACAACGGAGGTAGGAAAGAAAAAAGTTAAGTCGAACACAAGCCTGCATGCTCCAGAGTAAAGAGTAAAGAGTAAAGAGTAAAGATGTCTATAAAGTGTCTTCACTTAATACAGGAAAAGCTGGAGGAAAAACCAGAGAAGGTCAGTGAATTCGAAACAAGCGTGGGGTTCTATCAAAAACGCTGTGTTCCAATGCTGCTCTGTTTCAGGACTGCAACGATCAGTGAGGTCAATTAATCGTAAACAAAATAACATCAACACATCATTTACTTTACAAATATCACTCTAAAATATTCATATAATCCATACAATACTCACATAATCCATGTGGTCATTACAACAGACTGCAGTTCACTACAGGAAGTGTAGGGGGTGATGTGGTTTGTATTGTAAAGTTTCAGCTAGTTTACTGAATTGACAGATTAAGTGATCATATGAATAATCATTGCAGCTACAAACATCCTTTTAGGTGTAAATCACAAATACCATCAGAAAGTGACTCGTAGTCATAGTCATACTCGTCTTCTTCCTCCTCTTCTTCCTCATGGCTGCCAAGACAACTTCCAGCAGGTGCCCCACTGTTGGCCTGTGCTTGCATATGTGCCAGCTGAAGTGCCTACAAATATAAATTAGGAGGAAATAAGAGAGAATAGCTCCTACTGCCCTAGACCGTTCATGCTTAGTGTTGTTAATGTATCATCTTCTTAATGTTTGGCCAAGCGCAGTATCCACTTCCATATCCCAACATCAAATCACGTGAGATGCCATTAAACAAATCAAGTTGTGTGAGCCCTCCTTTTCCCACCTACTTTCAGCCTCAGAGGGTAAGGGGTGAGGGGTGAATTTTAACTACACGTCACTCTCTTAAGTGCATCTTAGTCAATGTTTTGACTGACAAAACATTGCATCACCACAAAACATTTTAAATATTATTATTATCGTTAATTTTATTACAACCCCATTTCCAAAAAAATTGTGACGCTGTGATGTAATGTAAATAAAAACAAAATCCAAAATGTGCAAATCATTTAAACCCTATATACTCATTCAGTAACATGATTGGGTATAAAAAGAGAGGCTGAGTCTTTCAGAAGTAAAGATGAGGAAAGGTTCACCACTCTGTGGAAGACTGCGCAGGCAAATAGTGCAACAATTCAAGAATAATGTTTCTCAACATAAAACAGCAAAGAACGTTTGCTTTTTATCATCTACGGTACATAATATCATTAAAAAATTCAGACAAGAAATCTCTGTACGCAAGGGACAAGGCCAAAAAACAGTATTTGCTGGCCAAGATCTTTGGGCCCTCAGGTGGCACTGCATTAAAAAGGAGGAGTTGGTCTCCTCAGTTCCCAAATGCTTACAGAGTGTTGTAAAAAGAAGAGGTGATGAAACACAGTGGTAAACATGCCCCTGTTTTTTTTTGGAACATGTTGTTAGCATTAAATTCGAAATGGGCATTTATTTAAAAAAAAAAAAACAATACAATTTCTCAGTTTCAGCATCTGATTTGTTGTCTATGTAGTATATTTCTTTAAAAATATGGTTTAGATGATTTGCACATCATTGCATTCTATCTTTATTTACATTCTGCACAGCGTTCCAACTTTTTTTGGAAATGGGGTTGTACTATTATTGTTGTAGTAGTAGTATAAATATGGTGTCTGATTTCCTCTATTTTTGCATATTTTTACATTAAATGTTTTCAAATCCTCACACACCATGCAAAATAACACAAGGAGAACATGAGGAACCACAAAACAGTTTTTAAATTGTCAAATCATTTATTGAGGGAAAGAGTTCTTTGGCTAGGTCAATTCTTTTGAGCCATTCAGAGATGGACTTGCAGTTGTACTTCGAATCTTGCTGTATAACCCGATTGTGCTTGAGCTTCAAATCACAAACTGGTGACCTGACATTCTCCTGCAGGATTTTCTGGTAGACAGCAGAATTCACGCAATGGTAGCAAGCAGAATTCGTCAATTATGGCAAATTGCCCAGGCCCTGAAGCTGTAAACATCCAGAAACCATCACACCACCATCACACTGTTTGTTCTGCTATGATGTTCTTATTGTGGAATACCATGTTAGCTTTATATAGGACGTAACGGGGCCCAGTCTTCCAAAAGGTTCCACTTTTGACTCATCAGTCCACAGAACATTATTTCAAAAGGCTTGGGGGTTGTCAAAGTGTTTTTTCTTTTGGCAATTGTGAGACTCGCCTTGTTTAGATTCAACAGGGATGGCAGTAATCAAGTCTGGGTGTGTCTAGTTTCATTTGGTTAATTGGTTGATTTAAGGGGACAATCACTTTTTCACACAGGGCAAGTTTTTTTCTTCAATAAATGAAATGGCTACTTAAAAACTGCATTTTGTGTTTACTCAGGTTGTCTTTATCTTATATTAAATTTTGTGTGAAGGTCTAAAACAAATGTAACAAATATGCAAAAACAAATCAGGAAGAGGTTCATACTTTTTTCACAGCACTCTACAAAGAGTGTTTAATAAACATCTTAGTGTTCAATTAGATAAAGTAAATGATTTGTGTGTCATGAATGAATCACACAGATGGCAGATTTAACAAACTACCAGTCTAAAGTAGGCAAAGAACTAGGCTCGGCTCAGTTCAGCCAGCCTGTCTGCAAACTGTCTGCTTAGATTGCAGCCAGTTCATGCTGCTTCAGGTTATTGTTTGGTCCATTTTAGATACATTTTTGCTTTTTAAGCTTCAGCCTAAGCTGATATTATGTTGGGTAACCAGCCACGGTGCACGGTGAAGACATTTAGCCATCAAATTTAAATATTTAGCTGCAGGTATAACAAACAAACAAACAAACAAAAACCAAGCATGTACAGGAGAACACAGCTGGGGATAGCAGACAAGGTCACTACTAGCCATAGCTCTTCACTCTACAGTACATGTAAACCCACACTAACTCACCCCACTGCCCAGGCACAGCTCTGCATACTATGTCTCTAAAGCCCCTTCTGCAAACTGGAAAAAGTGAGAACCATCACATAGTCCTGGCAACCCAACTCACATCCCAGGAGCTCGCCCAGTCTGACCCACATCCCAGGGACGTGTGAGGTCCTGGCCAGCACAAGCGGCGTGCCCAGTCCCCGCCACCGTGGTTCCTCCTGAGTGTGGCAGGAATCCTCAAACCTCACTGCATGAAATCTGCCGCCACCACTAACAGTGGCAGCAGCAATGGCACGTCTCTCAGCCACTTTCCATTTTCCAGCTGTCCTGTCACACCATCAACACTGGTAAGGGGGCCGTTCATGTGTGCCAGAGCCCAGGCTTTGGCTCTGCCGCTGGTGAACGACCTGAGCTGGACGTTGGCCACCTACTGTGCCCCTCTCTGTGTGTGGGCACAGCCAGTCGTAGTAGGGATATCGACAAATTGACAAGCACAGAGCCCACAAGATCCTCTGGCTTCTGTTTCTCCACTTGCTTAGGTTCGCAGCACTGTCTGGCACAGTGTCCCTTCTTTCTGCAGTGCTGGCAAACCAGGGACTCGGCCACCCGTACTTTCTGAACCTTGCAGTGATGTCCCTGCTGTCACTCTTTCACTCATCTCTGCCTTCCTCACCATCCACCTTGAAGTTCTTTGAAGCGTCGTTCCACTCCCTGCCACGGGGGTGTGCTATCCCACTTCTGACTCCAAATGTAGTGTCTTGGCAAAGAAGGAGACATGGAAGAGGCCATGATTTCTGCTCCAAGAAGTGCTCTTTATTTACTTCAGCAGAAAAGCATCATAACACAGCTAACCCAAAGGGTGGAGGTCACCATGAGCCCTGTACTTTGTCTCCACGGTAGACGATCAACCCACCAACCGACTCCACTGCCCAACACAAAATGACACGAACACGTACACACACCTTTAAACCAACATAAAACGACACATACAACACAAACAACAACATTTAACATGTCGGAGAGAGGTGGGCGCACAGCACAGCTCTGCATAACCATGCCTCTAAAGCCCCTTCTGCAAACGGGAGCAAGAGGCAGCCGCCACAATAAGAACACCTGGGTCATATTTTAACAGACGCGTCAAACTTGTCAAACTAACACTGCAGTTGTAAACACTGACAGCACATGTTTCAAACTGCAACTCCTTAACCTCTTCAACTCCTTCAGACCACCGGTGGTTCCAAAACGCACTTCGTTATATTCTTCACAACTTTCATATTTCATAAGCTACATTCAAAAAGTGGGGGTCATATGAGAGCTGTAACTGTCTTCTTTCCAGTCAAATAGATGGGTGATGCAATTTTAAACCATTATAATAAAAGAAGCTGAACTCACAAATTTTTTTTTTCTACTGAAAGTCGACCCATTTTTTGACAAATCTGCGCTATAAACTATAAACAGATGGTGTCTCTTCAGTGATCTGCTCTGTAAAAATTATTTTTATAAAATAATACGAAGAGCGTCTGAGATTTTTTGGCTTTTAGCAGTAAATTCTAAGCATATAGCAATATGTGTATGATCATAAAAACACTTTTTCTGTTAACTTGAGGGGAGCTTTTAAAATAAAGAATTTTTTTTCATGCAGTTACTCAATAATTTGCCTCATGATTCATGTAAATTCAGATGGAAAAACCAAAATATACCCGGGTTAATAAGAGGTTAAAGGCTGTATGTATGTAAACAAAAATCCCACCTTTTGTTTTAGAATATCCACAGGGGCCTGATGGGCCTTCAGCTTCTTGTTCTTGAGCAAAATCTTGCCCCTGAGCTGCAGAGGCGAGGGGAGCAGTGGGTCGTCCGAAAAATCACTCTCAAAGAGGAACTTGGTCACCAGCTTGTCTCCAAACACCGCCTTCAAGCCAGAAGAAGTATGAGGTCATTTTGCAGTTAAGACAGAGACAGGGATACAGGGAGTAACCAGGCAGAGAGAACATACCTTAAAAATGTCAGCCATTTTGCGCTGCTGAGGTAGAGAGCAGTGGTTCTCGATGGACAGGATGACGGGCATCTCAGAGTTGACAAAGGCAGTGCGATTGACAGCCTCCACCACATCCTGTGGAAGTAAAGAGAGGACAGTCATAACGATACCAAGAAAAGAATTCAGAAAGAAGTGAATAAGGTTGCCTTTTTCACACTCAGACCTTGAAGGGGATTTTTGTGGTGAGCGTGTGCCCATGGTAAATGATGGGCATGCCATCGTCTCCATCCCAGCAGTCCAACTCCACACTCCTACAGCCTTGCAACAGCACCTTCCCCAAAAAAAGCCATTATCTTAGCATGTTTAGCATGAAGATTAAGTTTCATGTTAACACACACAGTGGCCCAAAAGTTTGGGAACAACACTAATTTAGTATAAGTCAGCATGAAGCATGTTTGTTAACTCCAAGACATGAGATTTACTAACACAGAACATGAGGGTTTCATTAAATATAATAAATAATAAATGGTTATAAATTGGTCAGAAACTTTACGGGGATACAAATGCTCTGTTACGGTCACATTTGCCACCATTTGAGACAAAAACTCATCCTTTGCATGAAAATAGAGACACTTCTGCTTCTGACTGGTTTGTCAATTTGAATGTAATTGTCCATGTGCCAAAATCAAAAGCATTGCTTTGCTATTATTTTATTGCTTATCTGCTGTTATTAGCAGCAGTTCCTGTTGCAAGAATGATATGAGCATCTGTAAAGAGTCAGATAATAAAACATGCAAATCATGCAGACGCTACAGTGCTAATGTGCTGCTACTGGATGCTGATTTCCCTCGTTTGGTGCGGACCATCACAAAAACGTGCAAACTGAACAGGGTTCATCTGGAAGCAAACCGAGACCCATGGTTTTTTGGCTGACCATGGTTCATTTCTTTAGTGCCCACCCAAATACAGGTGGAGTATTTACACTTCTCAAACAAGCCAAACTAAATAAAAGGTTTGCTAGGTCCACACTGAATGAGGTAGATGTGAAAGTGTCTTTAATTACTTTAGCTCCTGGTAATTTTTTTATTTTTTTTTGCAGTTCTAATCATATCCACCTGACTGTCACATTCAGAGGCTCCTGAAGGCTTCAGTAACTGAATCAGACATGTTACATGTTTTAAACTGAAATAAATCACTTGAAATCAGTGGAAATTTCATAAAAAAAACAGGTTGTAGTTATAGGCAACATGTTGTGAAACATTTTTAAAGCTTGAAAATATCACTGCTTGCTTCCATACCTTTGACTTGTATTCTACTACAGTATATTCTAGGGCTTCAAATCATTGCTTTGATTGCTTACATCATTGAATAATTTACTGGATTCCGTAAGCGTCCTAACGAGTCAAAGAATGCTTAGGATGAATCAGGACATCCACATTATCCAATAAGCAGAAATAATTTTCATCAAAATTAACGCACGCCCATCTCTAATCATGACATATCAAGCATTCACTAATATGTTTTTAATATATTATAATGTTACAATCCCAATGTAGCAGCATCATAGAAATAATGTATTTTGTATTGTGCAGCAGTAATATATCCTATGAACAAAGTCATTTAGTATATATTTGAAAAAGGCAATTCCATTCAAGCCAATTACACACAGCAATTTCTGCCCCACCTGACTGTAGAGCTCCACTGAAGACTCCCCTTTCAGCTGGTGGCCGGTAAGGTACGTGTTGTGTGAGGATTCAATGTAATAGTAAGACAGTGGGTACTGCAGCTCATCCAAGTTCACTTGAGATTCCTCGTTTGTAGAAGCAAAGTTGTCCTTATCCATCAGAAACCTTTGGAAAGAAAGCTTTGCACTATTTCCTTCTTCGAAAATGTTTCCCTTTAAAAATACAACTTCTGTTTTGACTTAGCAATCTAGAACACAGAGTTGTGTTATGGTCCTGGCTTGAGGTACTGCCTGTCAAGAACGTGTATTTGAATCATCAGTTGTGTATGTACTACATTTTCAAATATGCTTGAGAACAAACCTGGCGAAGCCTTCAAAGGACATCCAACCCATCTGGCGCATGCTGGAAGAGGGCTCAAATTTCTGGAGTAAAATGGAAATAAATTAATCTTGTAATTACATCAGCGTGTATTTCAATAGATGTTCCATGGTGATTTATGAAGTGCTGAGAGAGACCACTGCTAGTCTGCCAGCCCTGATGCCAATCAATTGTAAAGAAAGCAGCAATAGCACTGCTGAACCTAGCACACAAGAGGCTAGCATTAGAAACTTTAGCACTAACCTGTCACACACTCACTGTGTGGTGTTCTGATTTAAACTCAGTTTGCATAAAGTCAATAAAGACTATAGTCAATAATGACAATAATAACTGATTATTCCTGTGCATTTTCACTATGTTGGAATCAACATATATACAAGACAATAAAATTCAGTCTGTTACAACACAGTTAGGAAGTTATAAGTGTCCTTCTGGGAAATGAAGTCACTCAGACTCACTTGAATGATGCTCAGGATCTCATCATAGGTCAGGTGCTCTCGCTGGCAGTTGACCAAGAAGTCATTGAGCTGAAGGATGCCGAGACCCAGAACGCCGAGGGAAGCATTCTCTACACCTGTGCCGTTGGTCACGATGCTGGCAGCGGCGATGGCGTCAGAAATCTGCTTCTGGTTGTCAGACATCTGCTGGCGTGTGCGGATAAACAGGCCCAGGTCAGAGCCATTTCGGGTCAGGAGGTCTGCGATGGGGACATAACTCACTTTCAACTTTTCACTTTCAAACAGCTGGCATTCATCTTTACTCATCTTATGGTATATTTAGCAACACTCAGGTTTTAACCTATAATTTAACACATTTCTGTTCCAAACTCGTATTAAAGTGCATACTCAAAGTCTTCTGACTCAAGGCTTTAAAAAGCTAAAAGGTTTGAGTAATCACATGACAATGAGGGGGAAAAATGTGTGTGGTCTGGCATTATTATTAAACTGTTCTGAAAAGTAAGGTGTCTCCTAGCTTTTCATGAGTGGCATATACAAAAACAAACCTAAGTCAGGCTGTAGGCCTGTCACTTTGTCATCGATTCTTAGAGTGGTGTAGAGAGGCACTGAGTCGGGGCCTGAGCGGCTACAGGGAACGGCATAGGTGTCAAACAGCTCCTTAAGGTCCTTTCGACTGCGGATACTGCAGAAGATACAGAATTTTAAAACTGCTTTAGTGTGGGATCAGTCAGCCCGCAGCTTATTCAGTGGGATAATAGATCAAGACATATTTAGCACCTGAATGACTTGAAAAGCTCCACAAACTCGATGAAGCTCATGATGCTATCTGACAGCATGAGGTTCTGGAAGCCACGGAAACAGCCTTTACCTCGACCATGCCAGCTCCTGCTGCTCCATGCCCTAAAAACAGAGCGAGACCGACACGTCTTCCAAAAGCTGTTATCTTGGTTGATGGACATATGCTACGCACTACACACTAAATATGGAATAAATGCTTCACACCCAGACTTATGTATACATAGATGCATACATCGCTGCTGTCGGAAGAAAACCTCGTATCTTCATTTTTGACGTTTTTTTTGATTTTCACATAATTTGAAAATGCCTGTCGTCCTTTACATTGTGTGTAAATTTAATGAGGAATGGACCAAAAGAAACTGCACAAATTGACTTGAGAAAAAGTCTGGTTCCATTGACCTACATTAAATGTGAAGTTGGTTTTTTCCTTCTCCTGTAAAGTTACCATTTTGGAGACACAATGTTTTTTTCCGACAAAAGCGATATGTATACATATCTATAAAATGACTAATACGATGCTAGCACTGTGCAACTCTGTACATTTGAAGGTTGCAGTTCAAAAGCATGACAGAAGCAGCTGTGTAACATTAGGAACTATATTATTAGGGATGCATCAATACTGATACTCGTATTGGCTCGATATCCTGCTCCTGTACTTGTACATAAAATTTTCACCGATACCAACATTCCAATACCCGGTGATATCATGTGACGAGTGTACGCTGCCGCACTGATGAACAAACAACTGAAGCTGACAGTGAAGGAGGCTTTGCTCACACAGAGAAGTTGTACTGACTCCATGGCAGTCAGACACAAAGCCATCAGTCACTTTCAACATTCTGCCTTGGCAGATTCTAACCAGGAATACATCGAGTGATTTCATCCTGTTTCAAACATACAATCATAAGCACTTCCCCAGTATGGATGGAGACACATACGCCAGCTAAACTTAGCCAGAAAAGTCAACATTTGCTACCAAAGTCTGTATATGCGACTTTGCTTTGTTTGACTGAATAAAATTGCAAGGTATAAAAGTTAATACACTGACTTTCTTTTTGGAAAATAGGCTGTAGGGAGAGTGAGCATCTTGATACAGTGTGAGTATATAAAATGTAGGCTTTGTCCGTCCACAACACACTATTCAAACAAACAATGTGTGTCACCGAAGAACAAGATTTCTAAAATCACACAGTGTATGTCTGGCTTTAAAGGACACTGAACTACAGCTCAACCTGCCAAACAAAAGAATCTGAAGAGACAAACTCCACAAGCAAAGAGGTGCTTTTCTGATGTGGAACAAAACCCGCTCTTCTCCACTGCAGCGCTACGCAATCCAAGGTAGCATTAAATAATATAGCATAGCTAGCTAATGCACTGAAATGAATTAGATTTGAATGATTTAACTGTTAATGTACACTGCACTCATTGACCCTATCAACTACTTAATTCTAAGTAAGTAATGTGTTATGGTATCGGACTCGGTATAGAGTACTAAAAAATATGTACTCATATCTGAAAAAAAATAGTATAGATGCATCCCTATATACAATAATAAAGTTAATATCCAAAAAGCCCTTATATTTGCAAAGCAATGACAAAAGAGACAGAAGAGTACTCAAAATACTCTAAAATATCTAAAAATATACTTATATATCTATATATATATATATGTTTAAAAGTATAATAAATGCTTTGAATTAATGAATTAAGTATTTATGCATTTAACATACTAATTTAGAAAAAAAATGGTTAATGTTCACAAACCTAAAGCCTGAGCTGGGCTCCGTTATATCAAAAAACACCATAGTGTGTTTGTTAGGGTATCAGGGTATTTTGTTCATTAATTTAACACCTTTACCCAGTTTGGTTTTTGAAGCTGCAGGCGAGGACAGGGGAGGAGTGAGGTCGGGTGGGGGTGCAGCTGTTTGTGGTGGAGGAACAGGAGGAGATGGAGGAGGTTCCAGGGGATTGGAATTTGGTGCTGGATAAGGACAAGGTTCCAGGGCTGCCAAAAGGGACTGAGTCCTCTACAGATATATACAGTACAAACATTATTACTTTATGTCACTTTATGCATTACATTTACATTTATCCATTTGGCAGATGCTTGAATCCAGAGCGACTTCTGAAATGTGTAAACAGTAGAAGACAAACAGATACAAAGTACCCAGAGAATCTGCAAGGATCTACCATCTAATAGCTTGATCTGATAAATAAATACAAGTGTAAACTTTAAAGACAGATAAATGGTGTATTTTTAATGAGTAGACAGTCTTAGTTGTGGAGAACTGCTGAGGAAATGAAAAATGATGAGGAACTGAAGAGTAAACCCATAGTGATCATTACAGCATTGTGTCAAAGTCAAAAAAAAGGAAAAACACAAGAAAAAAAACAAACCAAAAAAGAAACCCCTATAAAATCAGCTGAAATCAATGTGAAGATCAAACTATATTTACAAATATACCAGTCTATTCAAAATCAGGCTTAGATTTGCTTCCAGTTAAAGAGCTGGGCTGCCTCACCGTTTTCTTCTTGCTCCACACAGTCTAAAGGATCTGATGACCTCCTGCTGAGAGTCTCCTTGCAGCTTTTAGTTTTCCGTGAGATCATCTCGTCATCGGTTCCGTCTCCACTGTCTCCCTGTCCATGTCAAATAAGACATTACATGGACTGGGAACTAATATAGAAATATGAGCCCAAGTAGAGCACATAGCATTACAGCTTACCCTTACGAGGGTTTTCTTCTTCTTCTTGGTGTTGGAGTTCATGCCCAGTGGGCTGTTCTTCTGAGCAGTGGTCTTCTCCAAGTTCTTGTTGGCAGAGCCTGGGCCTCCGGCGCTCATGCTCCAGCGCCGGCCACCAAAGAGCTCAATGGCTTGCGCCAACGTTGGCCCCTCAAACTTAGCTTCTTCCTGGAGGGAAGGGGAGGGAGAAAGGCATTAAATTAAGGCGACAGAAAGAGTAAACTGATGGACCCCAATACAAACAGAACTGACACTTACTGACAATCTACGATACAGGCAAACTTACAAATGATGAGTAGGTTTGTCAGTTACAATGACTCTAATTCTGTGTTTTTCAACCGAAACACAAGAGACTTCTGATAAGACCTCTTGATATATTTGCTCTTTTTATAGCTGATAAAGCTCATACTCACATACTCATACTTACCAGTTCTTATCTGATCAGGTAAATTATGTCCCTAACTGCTCTGTATGGTTAAAACCTAACTAAATAAATAAATAAAAACAGCCAGTGCTAACATTCTCTAGAAAGTTAGCAAAAAAATGTAAAAAAGTTTTTCTGCTAAGCCAAATGTTGCCTACTAGCATTTGTTCATTGTTGGCAACATCATAATTTTTAGGTGAAGTTGTCCTTAACACTTAGAAGTCACATTTATTGTATCATTAACAGCAAGAATGGAAACACACTATAACAAGAAAGAGAAAGTTTGTGAACAAACTTAAAATTGTCCTGACAATTCCAGTTTATAATGGTTGAATTACCAGATTATAATGCTGAAATTACTGTAAACGCTGTTTACATGTTTGTGTCACAGTGTGTGTGTATGTATGTAAGAGTGTGTGAGACTGCCTGGGAGTAGAGTTCTGCAGTCCCACAACAAAACGTAACAGCGCAGAGCTCATTTTCACAACTTTTACCAACACTCTGTAAGTGTTTGGGCACTGAGAAGACCAATTGTTGCATTTTTCATTCAAAATGCAGCAAATGTTCACAACGGGTGACAGAGCTGGACTGCAGGCAGCCATGCTAATGCAATATGTGCAGAATGTGGTTTGGCCTTGTCTTACTGAAATAAGCAAGGCCTTCCCTGACGTCGTCTGGATGGCAGCATATGTTGCTCCAAAACCTGTATACAACGTTCAGCATTAACAGTGTCTTCACACATGGGCAAGTCACCCATGCAATGTGTAGTACTGCACCCCCAGACCATCACAAATATTAGCTTTTGAACTGTGCGCTGACAACAAGCCAGTCAGTCCCTCTCCTCTTTAGCCCAGAGGACGATGGGACAATGAAGTGTATTCACAGACTGGTTTTCAGAAGTGCTCCTGAGCCCATGCAATGGTTTCCACTACAGAAACGTGTCTGATTTTAAAGCAGTGCTGACTGAGGGCCCAAAGATCACAGCCATCCAAATATTGGTTTTCGGCCTTGTCCCTTGCATACAGAGATTTCTCCAGATTCTCTGAATCTTGTAATGATATTATGTACCACATATGATCAAATCTCCAATTTCTTCGCTATTTTACATTGAGAAACATTATTCCTGAATTGTTGTCTGTGCAGTCTTTCAGAGAATAGTGAACTCCTCCCCATCTTTACTTCTAAAAGACCCAACCTCTCTGGGATGGTCTTTTTACACCCATCTCATGTTACTAACCTGTCACCAATTAAATGAATTAGTTGTAAGATGTTCCACCAGCTGTTTTTTAGCATTACACAACATTGCCAATGTTTTGATGCCCTTGCCAACCAATTCAAAATGGCCATATATTTTTCAAAAATCAATACAATTTCACAGTTTTAACATGTTGTCTTTGCACTATTTTCAATAAAATGTTGAGTTTAAATGATATGCACATCATTGCATTCTGTTTTTATATACAATTTGCTCAGTGTCCCAACCTTTTGGAAAATTTGGGTTGAAATAATAAAGGCCAATTCTAAAGTTCTAAACTAGTTTTAAATAGAAGCAACCAATGATGTGAACAATTACATGCTTCACATAATTCTTTAAGGCCACATAAATGGCAGAGCTTTCAAACAGTCAGATGGCCACAGCTGTGGAAAGTGCTTTTTAATAAAGGTGTATATGTGAGAATATAAATGACTAAAGGCAAATCTGACCTACGGCAATGATTTTTTATTGTGACTAATGCAAATGGAAACCAGCTCTTTGGGTCTAGAACAGGACAATCAGAGCAGATTTTCTACAGGAGCAGGATAAAAAAAATCAGACCTCTATCTGGTGGCTACGTTGCTAATTGACTGATATGAGGTTCCAATGTGTTGCTATTTGGTTGCTATGTTATTTAATGTGGTTGATAGGGTGTTGCTGTGGTATTGGAGGCGGTTGCGGGTGTTGGCCATGTGAGTGTATGTGTATGTGTATGTGTGTGTGTGTGTGTGTGTGTGTGTGTGTGTGTGTGTGTTTGAGTGTGCATGAGAATGTTTGTAATGAGTTTGCATAGAATATTCATGTAGTGTGTATTACTGTATAAATACTGTCTATTAACATGTATGATTGTATAAGTGTGGGGTGTATGCTTCATGTATGCAGTGTGTAAAAGCTGTGTAATTACTGCATGATAACTGTGTAACTACTCTGTATTAGTGAGTGTGTGTGAGAGTCTGAATGTAGTGTATGAGTGCAGGTGTGAGAGCTGTCCATTGTGACATCATCATTGGCACATAGATACCAAGCTTCAAACATACCATCAATCATTTCCTATGTGGAAAAAACAGCCTTTGAATGATTGCTGTACAAAAACCTATGTTGAATCACTCTCAAATCCCCAAACATAAACAGGCTCTGCAAAGTCTGGTGGTTCTACATTATAAGCTGTGGGCCACGAAAAGTCTCAAACATTGGAGCAGATTCAACAAAAGAGGCACTAATTATTGACAGTGTACTGACACGTTGCACTAATGGGGGGCTTATCTGCTAATACTTTCTATAGAAATTAACATGCAGGCACAACTCTGTAATTAACGTATGACCATTGTTATATAAATGCCTGTTTGGCTCATGGGCTTTTTGTACAGAAGTTCATTTTCTAGCATCATTTCCTCTGTTTCAGGTTCATACTGTAACTCATTCTGGGGGAATAAGAACTTACTTTGCACAAAGTAACGATCACACATTCGTAAACATTCAGAAATCATTGAGCGTAGAATAATAATAAGCAGAAAACGAAGAACAGTAAATGTAATAAATTTCCTTTGTAAAAATGTGATTTCGGTCTGGTTAATGTTTCCAATCATGCTAACTTTGAGTCATTTTAAGAAAAGAAAACAGTCCAGTTGAAAAATGATAAGCTTCAAGAAACAAAACGAAGTACATTTATTCTGTTGTTACAGTGCGGTTTTCCCTCTAACTGTAGCGTGGGGGGTGCTCAAAAGAAGAGTAAACAACTTGAAGTTTGTGCCCATAACACAGCTTTGTTTAGAACTGACTCAGCAAACAGAGTACACAGGGGAACAGTCGCTCTCTAACTCAGCTCACGTCTCTTCCTCTCCACTTTCTCTCCCATTTACACACACAGACACGGCAGGGGCAGTTCCAAGCCACACCCTCCAAAATAAGAGTCCAAAGCAATGAAATGAGTGTAATAAATGGTAGGAACACATAACCCAGGATCAACAAACACCTCTTTTTGAACTAAATAGAACCCTGGCGTGTGCTGATGCCAAATTGAGCTCTCCCATTTGCCCAACAGCAGTGACTCTGCTGCCTTCCAGCCCCACCAGACAAAGTCCTTTAAAAGTCTAGGAGTCTGTTGTCCCCTCTTTGATGAAGTTCTGCCCTCTCTCTCTTTTCTTCCGCACACTCGCAGTCCAACCCTACCACTTTACAAACCTGCCTGCAGCCTGAATATTCTCCCTCCATCTCTTCTGCCTAATATAAAGCCCAGGCAAGTTGGCTTTGCAAACTGCAACTGTTGCCAAGTTATCATGGGCTGATGTGTTCAAAGACATTAAGTTTAGTGGAGACGGAGAGAGGAGAGGTTACCAGCACAGACAACAAACATATTTCACCCAATTTGTCATCTTTGTTTATTTTTAAATGAATGAAAGATAATAGCAGTGTTATGATCTGTCAAATATGCCTCTTGAAAGATCGCAGATGGCTCGTTTCACAACTCAGCTTTGATACTGAGGAAGCATACAAACAGTGAGATGACTGGCTGACTGATCTTAGATAAATGATACGGCATTCCTTTACTATTCTTTGTTGTTTTAAAACTCGTATGACTTGAGTTGTAAGCAAAACTTTGAATACCTAAAGCATGACATTGTGTTTATTTATTTTTTATTATAGCAGTTTTACCCACCCTCAATATGTTAAGGTCAGCAAATAAACATTAGGTAAGCTTGAAAAAGGGCCGCAGTGAGGATGTGACAAATTATTTTCATTTGAAAATCAACAAAACAGATCATTTGAGTGTGACTGTAGCTATTTATTAAACTTAAAATTCTATTATTAACTAAGTATTCGCTCTATTATGAAGTTCTGTTTTTTTTGAAGGCCAAACGAAAAGAACAAGTCTTAATCTTAGTCAAACAATAATAAACAGTCCATAGGTTTTCAGGGATTCTAAACTACTTTGTAGGACAAACTAGGAAGCCTTATAGTATAATTATCTGACCATGATATGCCTAGCTTTATATGCCTTACACAGTACACAGTAAGATGTGCACATTATGCGCGCGAGCAGAACTCAAAACTCTTTTTTTCCTACATCACGTTTAGCTTTAGCTTTGTGTGTATGGTTATTTTCCAATGATACAGCCAAGCAAACTCAGGAAAATTATCAAATTATGATTGAGACATACAAAAATAGAGAAGTTTTTCAATAAACAGATTATTTACTCCTACGTGATTAACTTCCTTACAATACGCGATCACTACAGTAACAGTACTTTCACTTAAATCACTTATGGTGCAAACTTAAACATCATCTGACGTCATGATCAACAAGTAATATTATGTGATTCTGAATTTTATCAACTCTGCCCAGCACTATTTAAATTTACTGTATAGCAAAACTACAATAATACATCTAGGCTTGTAAAAGTTAACGTGCCCTGTTTGTGATGTACCTGGTAAAGGCTGATGTACTGCTTGCGCAGCCACTGCAGTCTCTGGTCAGGGAACTTCTTGATCTTCCTGATGGCACTGAGTAGCTCCTGCAGGCCCTCGTGGAGCATGCTTGCCGTGTGTGTGGGTGCCACAAAGTGCAGCAGCCTGTTGTCAGTGGTGTGTGTTCCGTACAGCATCGTGACTCCGTTCTCCTGCGCGCTCATGCTGCACAGGTTGTGCTGCAGACACACAAAGTTGATGTCCACGCCCGGGTGGCCCATGTACACGGCCTTTACTATGCTGAGGTCCAGGAGGCCCTCGGTCAGTCCGCAGAAGGCTGCTTGGCTGTGGGGGACAGGGTCCTGAGGGCAACCTTTGCTCCGGCCAGCTGGAGGGCAGCTGCTCGGGGGTTTGGCCCAGGTCAGGAAGCAGTTGTCTGGCTGCAGACGGAGGATGCAGCGGGCACTCTGGTGGCTCTCCTGCTCGTAGTGGATGACTGTGGCTCCCTGCAGGAGGAACTGGTGCACATCAGCTGGCAATGAGAGAACGTACCAGGGGATGAGTTCCGTGCCGTGGCTAAAAGCCCCATGCGGCTCCTCTGGACTCTGGAGATCTGCTTCATGAGGCTGCTCCACCAAATCCCCTTCAGAGTCAGATAGGTCCCCTACTAGAAATCTAAAGAGGAGGATAAAATCAGGAAATCAACAGAAATGACTATATATGTTAATACACACCCATGCACACACACATTTATGTATATTAAAAATCACAATTTTCCAAGCTGGATGCAGTTTGAGACAAGCGTGTGATAAAGCATGCAGTAGCAATTAGCACAATGCTACCTACTGGGGTAAAAGTTTCCATTAGTAGCTACATTAGCCCTGTAGCTTCATTGCCAAACTAACACCAAACACATCATTACTTTATTAATCTGGGTAATCTGGGTACTGTCAGTACTTCTAGAAAACTGAATGAATGCATGCATCATAAAAATATCATGACCGCTTGTAAATAACAACAACAAACAACTAGTGACTGCATAAACTGCATAATAAAAGGAAGCTGATTTATTATCAGCCCATTATATCATTATCTGTTCCTTCTTATGCAGTATACTTTTGCATATGTTTAAAAAAGGGAGCACCACTACAAGCAGACTGATGTTCTACTTTTTCCATATCAGCCACCCATAGAGAAAACTGTAAATTAGATTTTTCGCCAGACTGTTTCTTCAACAGTGGTCTCTCTACGTGATTTCTCATAAGCCGCAAGGCCGGTTAGTCTTAGTAGAAGGGAAAAATACCCATCCACCCACCCACCGCCTCCGAAGATTAGCACTGCACCAGGGCTGAAGGCTACAAGGCTACTGAACAACAATCTTGCCAAATCTAGTCACTACAAACTTCAAAACACACACAAGTGCAGCGACTTACAGGACTCGGCCTGAATCAGAGGCTTTCCTTAAAGGCAGTGACAAAACACAAGGAGAGGAGGGAAGAAAGAAGATGAAAAAAAATTGTGAAACTACTCAAGTTGTTTATAAACCTTGAGACTGAAAGATCAAACTTTATTACAATGAACACACTGTTATAGTGTGACAAGAATTATTTTTTAAATATTATTATTATTATTTCTTCTTCTTCTTCTTATTATTATTATTACCTGATCCAAAGCCAGCTGTATGTAGTACTCCCTAAACGTCATCTCAGTTAAACTAAGTATGTGAGAGGTCTGCGTGAGAGGCCTGTTTTTTCAGTCCTGCTCCCGCCCGCAACCAAAACAATTTCTCCCGTCTGCAAAGTCCCATCAAGGCGAACTGACATCCTGTGTCTGACACAGTCTATTCATAAATACATAATTCTCTGTCTACTTGTTCTTGATGTCTGTTTGTTCTTAATGTTTTGACCTCTGGGAGGAAGAATTTGTGTGCTGTTCACATGATCGGCTGCTTCACAACTCTTTAGAATGACTTCATTCATTTGAATTGTTTCAGTTTTCCTTCTAAATTGTTTATATATATATGATTTAGTGCTCGTTCTACTTTACTTAAATCTATTCATTAATTTTGCAGGATTTCTCTTCATGCGTGCTTCGGGCCACTCCCGCTTACAGGTTGCTTTTTTCCTGCCCGCTCCCGCAAGTAGCACTGAAAATTACTCCCGTGCTGCAAGATACTGTGTCGAGTGCTGACCTCTAATGTGAGATACATTCAAATCTAACCTTTAGCAGCAGGAAAAACTAATTATAAAAAAAAAAACCTTGATGTCATGAGAACCACTGAAAAATAACACAAGCCAACAAAACTCAGAATGCTGAAAAGCTCCACTCCCAAATCTACAATACTTGACACAGACAATCATATCAGTCAGCAAAGCATTGTTTAACTATTCAGGCCTGAAGTTTAATTTTGAGCAACTAAAAATATAACAAATATACAACTGGCTATCAGAATTCCTTAAAATTGTTAATGTATCAGTGACAAAATTTTCATACAATGACAAACTGAGTATAGCATAGAACTAAATTCTAAACCACACTTAAACTTACTATTACTATTAAATATTATTACTGATATATCATTGATACTGTTATTGATTATTTAATATTACTAGTTATCAGTAGTTATCAGTTTGTTTTAACATTTATCATTTTTACATAACTAACTGCTCCTCAGAAAACAAAGATACTCAGCAGAGGTTTCAGAAAAGCAGGACTAGGCTGTGCTCCCAGCAACCTGAAGATGAAGAGCCTCTACTGAGATTTCAGCACACCGTGGACAAGGTAACAAACACAGGCGGTGACAAAATCCAGGCAAACCCTCATTTTGACATCACATTAATAATCAGTATGAATTCCTTCCTTCCAAAGACACACAAGTGCAGTACTGAGGACAAGCAGAGACCAAACCCATAGGTCTCTTCTTTCTCAGGAAAATGTGCTTCTCTCTAATGGATAAACAAAAACTAAAATTACAAAAAAAACAGAAAAATGTCATTTTATAAGGCCCTTTATAAATCTATTTTTAAGACTGTCTGTGACTTTGGACAAAACCGACAAACAGACGTGACGTACCATACTATTTTCATCTTTGTCTTTTCAGTTCTTTGGGGAAAAAAAAATAAAAAAAAAAATCACAAAAGGACAGAACATGACGGAAGCAAAAAGGGCTGAGGCTATTATAGTGCCCTCTAGAGTTTTTAAGGAAAAAAAGTTAATTGTCTTATGACGATCACTGATAAAACACTTCTAGTATAGGGGATAATCTGAGTCAATAAATTGTAACATAACTGTAGCAACATTCTTTAAGCATAAGCAAAAGTTACCCCATCACAGGATGTATTTAAAATAACTAATTTTTCTTAATAGTTTTGGTAAATCATCCGAAAGGAAACCTTCCAGATGTTAAATAAATCTTGCTTTTCATATCAGAATGATAGCTCTGGGCAGATGAATATTTACACATAATTGGACAGAGAGGTACAATGGTATCAGAATGATATTCTATTTTTTTTTCTTTTTATTGGATTTTTTTGTTGCACCAAAAGAAATTCAATATACAGCTTTTACTTGGAGAATCACCGACTCTAAAACTGATTTTATGGCTACGTTCGCATTACCAGGTTGAAGTGGCACAAATCCGATTCTTCGCCCTAATGTGACTCAGGTCTGATGTTCTCAGAGCTGTGTGGACACGCAAATCTGATCTTTTTAAATCCAACCTGAGCCACTTTCATACGTGGTCCTAGATTGGATATGTATCCGATTCATGGTCACGTGACCTTAATGTGACGCTCAGATTGGATTTTGTGTGCTTTTTTTCCACCGCGCATGTGCCATTGTTCAGTGTTGCCATGGCAGCAGTGTCGAACAGAAGTTTAAGCCTGTAAAAGGTGGAAAAGCAACACATCTCGCCTTTTTCACCTTCATCTCTCTCTAATAATGAACAGCTGATTCTGCTAGGTAGTTTGTTTGCTGATGATGCACGTGACGCACGTGATTCATTCACGTGACGTTACTGAGTAGGATGTGCGAATGAGGGTCATTTCAGGACGCTGTTTCGTTCACATTAATAACAGATTTGAATCAGCTACCTAAACGAGTGTGAACCATCCTGTCAGAGAGATTGGATTTGAGCAAAAATCAGATTTGAGCAATGAGGCTTGTAATGTGAACGTAGCCTATGTGCAAAGGCCTTAATGAAGCAATGACTCACTGGTTCCTGCTCTTGTCCTTGAAGGAGTTCTTGCGGAGGGAACTGCTGGGCTCTCCAGCGTTCTCCTCCAGGTCCTCAGCCTCCAGGCTGCGGTTGCAGCTGCGGATGGTCTGCAGGATGTTGCTGACCGTGGCCTCCTTCTCTGAGTTGTGTAGCCCATCGCCTCCCACCCTCTGCAGAAAGTGCTGTTGACCGTTGTAATCGGAGACAAACTGGGTGGAATAAAAGAGAAGGATGGTGTTTAGGTGATCTTCAAAAAGGCTTAATGTGAATTTGATATAGTTTTTTTTTTTTGTCACAATTTGAGAAAGCTAAAGGACGGTTGGCTTCCATTCTGAGAGTCAAGCACCTGTTCTCTGGACAAATCATTTTGCTGGGCTTTTTGTGAAACTATAAAACCTATTAAAATTATGTTTTATGAAGAAAGTAAGAAAGTCATCAGTCAAACAGCAGCCAACCATAACAACTTTCAGCGAATGATTACATACATTCTAATGAGTGTGGCAGACGCAAACATCAATCTCATACAGATAAGATTTCCTGTAATAGGTGTTAAAGGGATGCAGAGGTTTTCAGTCCTTACTTCAATAGAGTCCTCTTGAGAATCAAAAGAAGGACGCAGGCCAATCAGGCTGGCAGCTCCATCGAGAGCTTCGCTGAGCTCCTTGAGGAACACTCCACAGAAGGGCACTACTTTACAACCAGGGATGTTGAGAGCACGGTTCACCACCTTTCTATACTCAGATGAGGATTCGTGCTGTGCCATGGCATCCTTCAGGCTTCTCATAGTCTCGATGTCTGCTTGGTCCATGAACTGCCACATTTTCAACACTTTGCGGGATCTAAGTAAGAACAGGTGGTTAAACTTCTTACCTCTGCATGGTAACCACATTAGAAAATAGTTGGGCAAAAACAGCATTCTGAAAACCCAAGGAATGTTACCTCACTTTGCTAAGCAAACCACAAACCAAACAGAGAAGAACTTTTGGTTGAGGTTTGTCAAGTCATACCTCAGACCTGCCAAGAACTCCATCACTGCATTGTAATTGCCCATATTCCAGCAACACTTGGCCACATGGACCAAGTAGGAGAAGACCTCTCTCTTCTCCTCCATAGAGCCTGCTGCCAGGATAAGCCAGGTCACCCAAGAACTGACCTAGAAAACAAAGAAGAACTGCTAATGAAAGGCAATTAAAAATAGAGCTTAAGGCTCTGAGTAGGTGATATAGCAAGAACATAATATCACAATATTTATTTAGGATGCATATTATTTTTTTCCTTTGGTGAACAAGATGAAGTAGAAACGATGATGTACAATGATGATAAAGACTCTGCTGACAGTGTCTCAGACATTTCTCAGTGGAATTTTCTACAATTAAATCATGAAAAAACAGAAATACTGATCCTTAGTACTCAAAAAATGCTTTATGAGAAGGTAGGTTCTTTAGCTTCATATACCAAATCTGAAGCACATAACCTGGATGTGATCTAAGACTCTGTTTCATCCTGTATATAAATGCAGCTTTTCATCATTTGAGAAATACAGTGGAAATTCTTTTCTATCTAGAGCAACACAGAGAAACTTGCTCATGCATTTGTTACAAGCATTTGTGAGATAAGCACCAGTTTATCTCACCTTGAAGAAACATTGGAAAACTTTAACTTAGCTTTTAATTGAAAATTCTACATCTTTTTTAATTTGATCTGTGTTTAAGTTTCTTCTTTTACTATTAACTTTATTACCAGTATGTAAAGGACTCTGAGCTGCCAATGGTATGAAAAGGAAAGGAAAAGGTCAATTACTGATGATGCCATTAAATATGTAACAAAGCATACTATGAGAGAGTATATTTTAATAACAATCACATATTGTCATATCGCCCACCACTATTTGAATCCATAAGACGTACATAAAATTTCAGCCCTCAAGTTGTCATGAGAATACTTTGGATCTTTCATTTTAACCTAATGACAAAGGCCAAAGAAACTATCATCTCTTAGCCAAATCTGAAATACTACCCCTTCCATTAAATGTCACTACAGAAAAACTCAGAAATTGGATTTGTTTTTCCATTAATATAAACATTAATTTCCTGATGCAGTGCTTCCAAAGCCTTAAATAGAGAATAAAAAGAGCTGCCGGAATAGCAGAAGCTAATGTTGTGCTCAGTTCCCTCTCGGTAAGCTTCAGGGTGAGAGAAGGTAAACACATCTATCTAAATTTAATTAGAATCAACCACAGATTCGTCTGCCGCTTTGTTCCCATGGAAGGCAGAGAGCAAGATAGATTAGTGTTCCTCAAAGATTTTCCATTAAGACTGAGAGGGGAAAACGCTTTGATATAAGGCCATTGAATCTGAGCACAATGAAGTGGCCTTCGACTTGCAACCGAGGACTTAGGATTCGGTTTTCTTGCTACATTTCATGGCCAGACACTCATGAAACTCAATGCTGCTGAGAGCAGAAGCACCACAGAGCTTTTCCACTCCTTATTTAGTATTAAAGGAATAGTTTGGTGAAAAACATGTTTCTCCTACTTTTGTTGTGTAGCCTATCAGCCAAGACATGTTGGGTGTCCAAACCTTGCTTCTTTAATTCTGAACTGGAGCTTTGATGCTAATGTAGCTAAGTAATGGAAGCCACCAATTAGCATCTCGCAAACTGTATTTCTAAATCATCACACACTTGCCTCAAAGGAAAAAAAAAGCTATAGATTTGTTTCTGACAGTTTGACATACTGCATATCTGAAGAATTAGACGAAAAAACAAACAAAATTCAGGGTTCAGGATGGATGCTACTACTGTCTAGCTATGTAATGTGTTTTGCCAATTTTTATGAACGCAGTGTCAGAAACCACTATTTAACCGCCTATTTGTGATTGCTTAACAACTTGATGTGGTCTTAGACAAGTGTGTGATCATTTAGGCATAATGCTTATACTGGTGGGATATTACTTGTTAGCTACCACCAAAACTATGAGGCTAAAGTAAAGACGCAAACTCTGGACACTAAACATGTCTTGGGTCATCAACTACATTTGAGCTAAGGGGTAAACTGTGTGATTTTTTTTTATTTTTTATTTTTATGTACAACCTTGCATCCAAAAAAGTTGGGATGCTGTTCAAAATGTGAACAGAAACAGAATACAACAATGTGCAAATCATGTAAACCTTGTATTCAAACTAAAATAGTGTGAAGACAACACATAGACGTTGAACCTAAGAAATGTTATTGTTTTTTGAAAAATATAAGGCCATTTTAAATTTTCAAAAAAAAAAAAGGATGGGGCAACAAAACATTGGTAAAGTTGGGTAATGCTAAAAAAAAATATTATCTGGCAACAGGTCAGTAACATGACAGGGTATAAAAATAGCATCCCAGTGAAGCTGAGTCTTTCAGAAGTAAAGAGGGGTTCACTAATCTGTGAAAGACTGCGCAGGTAAATAGTGCAACAATTCAAGAACAACTTTTCTCAAAATAACAAGGAATTTGGGATTATCATCATCATGTATGGCACATAATATAATTAACAGATTCGGAGAATCCATAAAAATCTTTGTATGCAAAGGACAAGGCTGAAAACCAATATTGGTTGGTCATGATTTTCAGGAGGCAGTGCATTAAAAACAGCCGCGTTTCTGTAGAGGTAATCACTGCTTGGGCTCAGGAACACTTCTGATAACAATTGTCTATGAACACAGTTCATCACTGCATCCACAAACACAAGTTAAAACTCTACCATACATGGAAGAAACTATATATAAAAACAGGTTCCAGAAACACCGTCGCCTTCTCTGGGTCCAAGCTCATTTTGGATGGACTGAGGCGAAATGGCTGTCCTGTGGTCTGCAAAACCAAAATTAGAATTTTTTTGGAAATCATGGACACTGCGTCCCCCAGGCTAAAGACCACTCAGCTTGTTATCAGTGCACAGTTCAAGGTGCATTAGTGCACATGGCATGGATGCACATATGTCAAGGCACCATTAATGCTGAACAATATATACAGATTTTGGCAACATATGCTGTTATCCAGATGACGTCTTTTTCAGGGAAGTCCTTGAATGTCAAACCACAGTCTGCATGTGTTACAATAGCATGGCTCGGTAGTAAAAGAGTAAGAGTGCTAAGGACCTGGCGCATTATTAAAGGAAAAATATGACAAATGAGCCCCCGAACTGTTGAGCAGCTAAAATCCTATATCAGACAAGAACAGGAAAACATTTCACTTTCAAAACTACAGCAGTGTCTCCTCTTTTACAGAGTGTTGTTAAAAGAAGCGGTGAAGAAACACAGCGGTAAACATGCCCCTGTCCCAACTTTTTTGGAACGTGTTGCTGGCATGAAATTCAAAATGGGCATATATTTTTCAAAAAACAATAAAATTGATAAGTTTCAACATTTGATATGTTGTCTTTGTAGTATTTTTTTTCTTAAAAAATATGGTTTATATGATTTGCATATTATTGCATTCTTTTTTTATTTACATTCTACACAGCTTCCCAACTTTTTGGGAAATGGGGTTGTAGTATTTTTGTCACAAAACCAAGTAATTTGCCCAAATGTAATATTTCCTTAAAGATTTTACATGTTTTTTGGTTCTGAAAACAAATGTTTGTGTGCTTTTTAAAAAAAAAAACAAACAAAAAAAAACATCAACGTCAGTTATGTAAACAGTTCCGCTGGGGCTTGTGTGTAGAGGGGAAGTTTAGTGTAGTGGGACACGGGCTGCCTGGGCTCATATCACCTCTGCAGCATTCCTCTAATCATTCCACCGCTCTTGAGTTACACCAGAGAACAGTCGGCTTCCCTGACACACTGCAGGGTTACATAAGAGAACGCCACAAAGACGGTCAACGTTATTTAGGACTTCAAAGGGCACAGCGCCAACCCCCAGACACCAGAGAGGCTTGTAGACTACAGCACCATAGCTAACCACAGGACAGACCACTGACCACCAGCTGACGCTGTAAATACAGGACAGTGTTGGCAGTGGTTTTCAGAGAGATGTTAAGTGGATTACGACTGTGTAAAAATAACACAGTCTGCGCATGAATGAGTGTGGAGGATGCAGAAGTGGAAGGACAGAACATGCTTAGCAAAGAATGAGAAATTTCACCTAGGGTTAACAGATGGGGGACAAGGCCATATTCCCACTACATATCCCTCCAGTTTAAGCAGTGGTGCCACTGTTACATAGAACAGCTCGTAATCCGGTACAGAGAAAAGTTCATATGCAAAGTGTAAGTGCAAGAGTCCACGGACAATGCAGTAATTCACAGATGTCTACTGAACGGCAATCAGGGAAGGTCGCTTTCCAGATTATAGTGTATTATGTAACCAAGGTTGACTGACAGGAACAGTTTGCTTGAGACACACTACTACATAGTGTCTGTAAAAACTATCCAATACAGACAACCTGTCTGCACAGTCTAATACAAAATGAGAAGCCGGCTGCTTTGAAGTAGGACTGTGTTATGACACTTAAGTTGTGTAACTCAATGTGAGCACTGCCAAAAACGGGCAACTATGCATAGCAGCCTTCTTATAATCAAATCCAGCTGATGTAAAGGAACAAAACATGAAATATGACAGCATTTCCACATTCAGCACATTAAATTCTAAAGCAGGAACAATTTTTTGCTAGAAATGAATGTTCCCATATTTATATCTACTGGACTAACATGGTGCATGTATAAGAATAGAAACAGCATCCTTCTGGAAACAGACCAGTGATTGAGATATCCAAATACTTCTTTCCATTTCCTTAGTTACTGTCTGTTTAACGTCAAATCAGTTTTTCTTAATCCAAACATGCCTGAAACTAGTCTAGCAAGCAAGCAACTACATGCAGCCTATACAGACTAAACAAGTACTTGGGGTATTCACTTTGTATTTGATGCCACCAGGTTTATGCATTGTAGGAGTAGTGCTTTAAAGATTTAGACCAAATGCTTTTGAATATTTGTCAAAATCAAGATTTTGGCAAGCCTTTTCACACATTTTAGTCAGCTTCCAAAAATGTTTCCCAAAAACAGTCTTTTAACAGACATTTTGAATTAATTTTGCTGTGTGGACATGAACCTCAACATACTGCACACTTATGACAAGCTCTCATCTGATGGCCTCTAATTTAAACATACAGAAAATGAGAAAAAGGCTTAAAAACTGTGCTAAAACCACACGGTTGGTACATGTTCATGATTATATGATAAAATCATATATACATCATATATACATCATAAACTTACTGGAATAACCCACGCTTTATTTTTGGTTTGTGCGGGTTATGTGAGGTCATGGATAGAGATCCACAGGCAAAAAGCATCAAGAGTCCAGAGAAAAAAGTTCCACTAGACTCACAAAGAAATTCAATGCCACTGTAGTTTGGTCTCATTATTTAGAACGGAACAGAGCGAATGACCAGAACTTACTCTTACTATTCACAATGTAGAACGGCGAGTTGATTTCACAGTGTACACAGTATAGACAAGAGTGTGACCTGCTATTGTCAAATAATGTTATATATGATGTGTATGACAACAGCAAATAAGTGTAATTCCAAAAAAGGTGTGCTGGGTCTTAAAGCTTATATGACATGGTTAGCCCTACAGTTACAACCTTTGGTGTCAGCGAAATGTCAAAGAGGTCTACCAGTGCGTTGCCAGGCGCATCAGACCGTGTGTAATGATGGATCTGACTAAACAGTGCCCTCCCTGGAGAGGGGGCCCTCCAAAAGCCTTGGAAAAAAATTGATAAAGAGTAGGCACCTCTTCCTTTTCTGATGAAACTGAAGAAATTAAACAAGGTGAGCTCACAAAGGTAGGTAGCTAATAGGTGTTCCAACCATTAAACCATTTGCTCAGCCATTTTAGTGAAAATAGCAGTAAATATATTTAAAAACTGTTTTTTTTTTAGTTTTTCTCATTTGGATTTCTCTCTAATTACATTGATTGTTGTGAACATAGACCAAGTTTAGGCCTAATCCCTATTTAAGTACAGCACAATTGATGATTCAAAGCACATTTTCCTTGTTGTCGGCTGTTTAACTCTTAAATGTGTACTAATCATAATGTACACATCATAAATACATTAAATATTTTTCCTTTCCTTTATTTCTTTGGGGGCAGCTGGGCACATTACTGTGCCTTGGGCCCAAATTTTGGTGCTACACCCCTGTGGACAACTCTTGCATGTGTATTTATCCTGTCTGTTGCTGGGACAACACTGTGTGTTGTACTGGACCACTGGTCTTCAGCAGCGTTAGAGTAACAGAAACAGTGCTGTAATATAAACAGGAAAGTTCGCCAGTTTTTAAACTCTGTTTTTCACGTCTACAGCCACAAATGTATTAATGGAAACTGTTTATCAAAACATCAAAATAATACAACATGATAACTAATAATTAGAATAAGCACATATGTATAAATATAAATTGAGGACTTCTACCTTTACTTAATTATTATTTTACCAAGGCCATCTCTAATTGTAGAATTTCTTTGCAAAATGCTGTATATCCATTTGTAACAATTTTGGATGATAGCACGTTTTGAAAAGAGTAACAGCGGACATTTAATGGAAAAACTTTTTTATTTCTCTAATAAAGGTGGTATTAATCATAATATAATGATATTAAAAATAATAATTACATGGGGGCTACACAAATCATGTTAGGCTTAGAGTTGTGATTAGTAACAAGGTTTGATTTAAGTTTTGGACTGAGGTTAAGGCTTTGATTGAAGTTATGATCTAGAAAAGTTTTATGCTGTTTTTTGTTCATCTTACTGATTACACTACCATAAAGGTATTTTCCCTCCAAAATTGCTAACATGACTGAAAAATAAGCAAAAATTATTAACCTGACACTCAATAATCATAATTGGATTTCTGCAGTTATCAGATTATTCAAATGGTCACTGTAAACACCATACTCCAATCTAGAAACCTGATAAAGAGATCTGGATTTAAGCTCAATAATCAGATTTCTCAGCACATGTACACTCTTACTCTGATTTCTTTCAGATTTCTCAGTCTAAGTGTGCATGTGCAAAACGGAAATAAGCGAGCAGCGTTGCTGCGAGATGGCCTCAAAACACAACTACACGTGTGATGAAATGAGGGATTTAAATATTCTTTATTTTCTAGATGGTGTATGTTCTGATTACTGTCTGATTCATGTAGACCCAGAGTTTCCCCATTATCTGATTACTCAAGTGCATGTAAACACGTTGATCGGATTACGGACAAAATCTGATTTTCTGCGGTTATTGGATTGTTAACTGCATGTAAACGCATTAAGTGACTGAAGGATGTTTCCACTGAATGAATTCTGAGCCTATATTCATAAAGCTTCTCAGAGCATTAATGCTGACCCAAGATCTATTCCTGTCAGCACGGTCATTGTAAATAAAAGATAAATCTGATAAAGATCAGCAGTCTGTTCTCTGTTCTGAGAAGCTTTATGAATTTGGGCCCTGGACTCTGTTAGTTGCATAATGGTAGGTGGCTCCACTAATTTTCATCATTTAATAGCAACAGCAGCATTTCTGAATAAACTCCTTTAACCACTACAAGACTAACTACAAATAGTGGCTACAAATCTCAGTATGAAAAGGGACAGAAGTCCTGACCTCATTGAAGCGCATGACCAGGTCCTCCACCGTGTTGTGCTGGGTGTTCTGGGTGGACATAGTGGGGGCTGACAGGGAAGCTTTAAGGTGTGGGTGGCGGTTGTGGCACTCAGGGCTGCTCAGGTCGCGGGTGAGGAAGCAGAGGTAGTCGAGTGGGAAAACGCGGCGGTACAGCTGCTGCTCCTGCTCCGTCAGGATGCTTGCAATTTCCTCTGGGAACTGGATGAGGTGGCGCAGGTCAGCCAGCTCCTTACTTATGCCTGTCACACTTGAGGACAGTGAACTGGAGCTGGCCATGGAGCTGCAAAACTCTGTGTGTAAGAAAGAGAGAGAGTGTATCTGAAGTTTGCTTCATTCCTTTTGCACTGGCGCTTTAAAACAGCACACAGACAGACAGAGAACATGTTCAAAGTCATTATTAATACTTTGAGTCTTTCTTTAATCACCATTCGGCCTTCACTTCCACTACCTGGACAATGAAAAGATGCCCTCATTAGAAAACACAACGTCAAGCCATAACACCAAGTACTGACAACTTTAAACACCACTACAAATAATCGTAATAACCATAATAAAAAAGTAACTATGCCGAGCACAGCCCTCATTTATTATGCACTCAAACAAAGGCCTTTAGACAGTGTCACTGGTGAAGCTTTCATTATCAGCATCGGTACATAATCATCACTCATTAAGGCCAGGAAATATTTACACATATTTGCTTCTTCAGTTGCTCCACTCCAAGGTTTGGAATAGAGAGCTGCTTTGTTGATATGGTGAGCCAGGGACGACGGATAAAGGGAAAAAAGTAAATAAAATAAATACCCGGCATGAGGTGCCTGGTCAGCGTCAACTGTCACAGGACAGACTACAGGTTCCTCCCACGGTACAGCACAACGGTGACCTCCGGAACAGGAGGTAAAGAAGCACAAAACGTGCTTGATTTGTGCATCCTGTCGCAGGCGTTCATAAAACAATAATAAATGACAAACACATATGTATGGTACCAGAGGGCTATCAACTAAGTAGCCAAGCTAGCGCTGCTGTTGTCAAACATTATGAGGGTATTCATATAATAAGTGGCAAAAATGCTCGCAACTCTGCTGTTTTCCTATGGAGAGAGCGCTGCCACTTCACTTCGCGGTACCACAGAACCTGCAGTAGGGAGAACTACCACTCTGTAATGTCTTCCAGGTTTCACAAACACTAGAGGGCGCTCCTGAGCGAGTTCAGAATGAAAGGGTTAAGATGGAGCATTTGAGCACAATCACAGTTTAGAAATGCTTATCCTTTCCTGAACATATTTTACCACCACTGTTACCTTTTTAAGAGCTTTTGAACTTATTATCGCTGCTGTCGGAAGAAAACCTCGCACCTTCATTTTTACATTTTTTTTGACATTATTTGAAAATATCTGTTATTCTTTACATTCTATGTAAATTTCATGATGAATGGACTAGAACAAATGACCCAAAAAGACTTGTAAAAAAGTCTGGTTCATTGACTTACATTAAAAGTAAAGTAGGTTTTTTTCCTTCTGCTGTAAAGTTATAGGTTACAGTAAATATAGGTAAGTTTGCTTTTTTTTAGTGAAATACATTCTTCTGCTTTCTAAAATTAAAGGAAAGTTCTTGGCAAGCGATTACTATTTTAACCAAATCGAACTTTGACCCGATTTACCGCTGACCCCTCCAAAGCCTGGCCAGTGAGACAAAGAGCTGCATTCCATTCCACAGGGTCCCTAAGCTGTACAGTAATGTTCACTACACACTTGAGCGCTGGATGTCAGTTAAGGGAACTGCAGTTGATAAATACCTTCATTCGAAATGTCCTACATCACAATCAAACAGGCATCTTCAAGAGACCTGCATTGACTGCTAAATTTCCTGCAGCTTCCTGTAAAGTGATAAACCGTTGTTTGATACTCCCTGTGCAGTTTAAAGTTCCCTTCCAACGGAACTTTTCACTCCCTGTGGTTTGGAATCACCCTTAAATTGTCTGAATACCCTGGGCAGTACACTCTGCGTGAACTACGAGGGTGACTGGAATGCACCTAAACCGTTTCATACGACGTGGTAGAAGCAACCCAGGCTGTTATGAACATGGAGGAGAAACTGATTCTCACCATTTCTCAGTACTTCCAGCTGTATAACATAACTTCAAAGGTGTACCATGACTCAGGAAGGATGGGATTTGTCAGCAGTCAGACAGGGCACTCAGACAGCAATTCAGTGTTTAGAGGACACTTGGCCAGCAAAGTTAGCTAGTTAGTTGTAGCCCCACTAGACACTGTAACAGTATTTTTATTTTATTTTATTAAAACTGTTGACTTTTGATTGTAGAAACAAAGTTTCATGGACCCACTTTCTTTTTCGCAGGGTCTTCAGTTTGTTGCGTCTTCTCCACATAACCACAGCCAGAGCTTTGCTCTGTGGATGGTTTCAGAGAGGATCAATAGGTTACCTTAAATCTTTGATGGTTTTCACATTCGCTGCTAATCTACAGTGAGCGTGTTTTGATGACGTTTCACCACACTGCTCAAGCCCAGCGCTGAGCAAAGTGGCAGTGTGCGCCCAGCCTCGTGGTGAAGCCCCCTGTCAGTGAGGAGCCAATTGATGTCGTTCAACAAAACGCTGTTCACCACCTTATTCATTTGGAAGCAGGGCTGCTTTATTGGTATAGGTACGGGGAGCCTGAAGCTGCACCTGCTTGGCCTGGCACCAAGCAGGGCCAGGGACAAATGATTTGGTATGAATAGTTTGCTAAAAGTTTACTAGCATTGATTAAATGTCGGCTAACTCAGACTCAGAATTTGTTAAAGATACTAAGTAACTAACGTAAGTGGAGAAAAGTAGCCTGCTTCACTATGGACTAAGCTAACGGACTACACCGACCTCGCACCGCTAGCGAGTACCCTTTCTTTTAAGTGGAGGGAATACATACGCTCTCTGAATGTTTACTTTTTCCCAAAAGCAAGAAAAGAAAAAGAAAGATTTATACATAATGTATATTACATATTCTATTAATGATAATATGTTAATAATTTAATAAAATAATAGAAAAAAAATGACCTAATGTTCTAGTAATTGTTCAGGGCCGCTGTCAGCCACAGGCCCTTAAAATCTTCCTAACTCGCCCCCAACCCCCTGGAAAACTCTGCCACAGTGGCAACGGTCAGTAGACTGAGTCAAGCGCTCAGTTTTCCCAACCTACGCCGTCGTTTGCAGTGGTGGAATAAACCGGATACAATTTTTTTTTTAACTATGGATGTCAAAAGTCTCATTGTTGAAGTCCTGACAAACTCAATGTGGCACAACAGAAATAAAAGAGTACACAGCGTCTTCCTGCCCTTTTCCAAATTAAAGGTACAATCTAGTCAAACTGATAAAGCTCTTCACTGATAATCATCTGTTTTCACTGGCCATCATGCCAACGTTTGAATAGCTTCTTGACAGTCAGCCACACAACGCTATGAGGCGCAGAATGACATTTTTTTTCAATGCAAAGGTGTGAACACAGCATTACTGACCCGGAAGCGCACAGTTGGTAAAAGTGACATGGTGCGTTTGGACGTACGGTAGCTTATTCCTGGCAAGCAGAACAAAAGATAAAGCCATGCCATTATTACAAGATGCTATGTCGTAATTAAGCTAGAGCTTGAAATAAATGCCATAAAATGTGGATACACACCACAGCTAGCATGGTGATCACATCACATGTGGGACTAGCAGAAATTAGCATTACCTAGTGGAAGTAATCAAGACAAAAAGGGTACCAACAAAGTAAACCATGAGGTTTCTGTATTAAGGTCTGTTTGCAGATTTTCATTTTATGACAAACGTTATCTTGTTTTCAGAGTAAACACAAAGTTAAAAAAATTAGGCACCAAGAGAAAGTTTTATTTAAAAAGCTACATAAAGCTGTATATTCAAAAAGCACTAATATTAGAAAAAAATACACATAATATTAATGCAATATGTTGTGATTGTATTTAAGTCAATAAGTGCGTTTACATGCACTCGATAATCCGATCATGATCATCAACAGATTATCGAGTGCATGTATCATCATCGGATTTCTGCAGTTTCTGCAAATGGTCATGTAAACACTATGTTCCAATCTAGAAATCAATAAAGAAATCTGATAAAAAGAGCTAGATTTTAGCTCAGTAATCAGATTTCTCTGTGCATATATACTCTGATTTCTTTTGTACCTCTCAGTCTGCGCATGTGCGGAACAGATGGCAGTAATAGAAAATAAGCAAGCAGTGCTGCCACGAGACGCAGCAAAACACTTTTGGAGCGACGCTGAAACCAACTACATCCTCGACGAAATTAAGGATTTAAATATTTCTCATCTTCTAGATGATGTATGTTCATTTTTTCAGGTAAAGTGGTGCGATGTTTCTTTAAAAAAAGCTGCGACATGAAGTTTTAGTTTACGTTACTTTACATCACGTCTTCTTCTGTGACTTTATTGGCTCGTAGCAAAGCAGAAACTTTGTCATTGTCGAACTTGTGCAGACCCGGAGTTTCCCATTATCTGATTACCCAGTAAGTGCATGTAAACGTATTGATTATCAGATTATTAAGTGTATGTAAACACACTCAGTGTGTTGTCAAGGAGAAATCCACAACCAAATCTTTGTTCTATTAATTAGCTCACAAGATATCAAACACTTTTTTGAAATGAAGAATTTGTTATTTTATATTTTTTGTAATACAGCAGCTAGCATTTTTTATTAATAATTAAGAAATGTCTCAACAATTTCTAGCCATTTTTCATTCATTTGACTTTTGGAAGAAGGGACTATCACTCTTTCATCACTCTGAGTATGGAATCATAGAGCACAAACAGATGTCATATGCAGATGATGAGGAAATGGGCTACAGCCAGCATTTAACTGTACACATGCAGACAGAAGGAGTGTTGCAGGTTTCTGACTGGACAGCAACAGTTGGCATGGACTCTCAACTTCTGATTGACACTGTTTTCGATAGAGGCTGCACAAGTTGCTACACAACAGGGATGCACAGCTGCCATCTTTAGAGCAAATTAGCAGAGCACTGTTTGATGATAATTAGCAAATGAAATGAATCAGCAATCTGCAATTGGCCTCCACGGAATGTCAAATGTGCTAAAAAGTAAAACACGGTCAAAAAGGGTTTAATTGGTGAAGCGTTACTGAAACGTGCTTTCTCTTGGTGTCGCTAGGGTTTCGTTAGCTATCACATGCAGCTGCCCTGTGCTCCACTCCACTCCATCCTCACATGGCACTTTTTGATGTGAGCCAAATGGGCTGCAAATGAATGCG